GTCCTTTGGAGAAATGCCTTTTCAAGTCTTCTATCCATTTTTCACTAAATGGTTTATTTTATTGTTATTGAGTTATATGAGTTCCCTATATGTTTTGGATATCAACCCTTTATCAGATACATCATGTGCAAATATATTCTCCCATTAAGTAGATTGTCTTTTGCTTTATTGATTTCCTTTACTGTGCAAAAGCTTTTTAGTCTGATAAAGTTCCATTTATTCTTGCTTTTGTTTCCCTCACTCAGGGGGATGTATTCAAAAAAATGTTAGACTAATGTCACATAGTCTACTTCTTATGTTTTCTTCTAGGTGTTTTATGGTTTTAAGTCTATACATGGGTTAAGTCTTTAACCCATTTTGAGTTTTTTTTTCTTTTTTAAAGATTTTATTTTTAGACAGAGGAAAACATTGTGTAGTTGCCTCTTGTGTGCCCCCTACTGGGGACCTGGACCACAACCCAGGCATGTACCCTGACTGGGAATCAAACCACCAACCCTTTGGTTTGCAGGCCAGCACTCAATCCACTAAGCCACACTAGCCAGGGCCATTTTGAATTTATTTTTGTATACAGTGTACAATAGATCAGTATCTTTTTCTTTTTCTTTTTTTTTTTTTTTGCCTATATCTGTCCAGTTTTCCAAACACTATTTGTTAAAGAGACTGTCTTTACTCCTTTGTCCATATAAGTGGAGGTTTTATTTCTGGATTCTCTATTCTGTTCCAATGATTTATTTGTATGTTTTTATGCCAGTACTATGCTGTTCTGAATACTGTAGTCTTGTAGTTTGAGTTCAGGGAGTTTGATACCTCCAATTTTGTTCCTTCACAAGATTGCTTTGGCTATTTGGAATCTTTTGTGGTTCCATACAAATTTTAGGATTATTTATTATGGTTTGAGAAGCATGCTATTGTTATTTTGATAAGAACTGTATTAAATCTGTATATCTTTGGATAGCATGGTCATTTTTAATAGATTTTCTTTTTTATTTATTTTTGGAGCGAGGGGTAGTGAAAGAGAGAGGGAATTTGGTTTGCTAGAAATTTGTGAGAATTTTGGCATCTATGTTCATCAGAAATATTGACCTGTAGTTCATGTGTGTGTGTGTGTGTGTGTGTGTGTGGTGTTCTTGTCTGATTTTAGTATCAGAGTAATGTTGGCCTTGTAGAATAGTTTGAAAGGGTGCCTTCTCTTCAATTTTTTAGAATAGTCCAAGAATAGGTTTTCCAATGTTTGGTAGAATATATCTGTGAAGCTACCTGGTCCCGGGCTTTTGCTTTCTGGAAGTTTTGTTAAAATGCTTAAAACTTTGTATGTAAAAAAAAGTTCCTCAAGTCCATATTATTCTCCTCCACTTTTCTTTTGTTGCAAACACAACCAAACTTATTGATTATAAAATTTCTTCCTCCACCTCCACTTCCTTTTTACATATTCCTCAATCCCCTGACATCTAGTGTTTCTGATCTCACCCATCCAATGAAACTGCTCCCACAAAGATCACGAATGCTCAGCGTTGCCAAATCCAGTGGACATTCTTCAGTATTCATGACGTTACTCCTCAGCAGCATTCCACACTGTGACCTTCCATCCTTCTTCCCCTGGCTCTCATCATACATTTCACTAAGTTTTATCCTGTCTGCTGGCTTCTCTTTCCCTGCCTTCCTTTTTATGTTCTCCACTTTCTCCCTCGGCTATCTTCTCTTCTCATTACACCTTCTGTGGATGTTATTCTCCTCCCCCTATATGTTAATAACACCCAAATCTCTGTCTGCAGCCACCACCTCTCTTCCTCCAAGCCCAACTTGTATAAACCCTCTCAGGAAACAGTCCCACCACCCACGCTGTTGCCTAGCCAGAAGCATGAGGTGCACTCTTGACTTGTCCCTTTACCTTACCCACACAATGAAACAATCCCCAAGACCTGTCAAATTCTACCTGCTATGTATCCCATAAAACTATTTCTCTTCTCTCCGACAGCACCTTAATTCTGGTTTCTAGTCCTTCCCTGGGATTGCTGCAAAAGCTTCTGATCTCTTCCCTTTCCAAACAAGTCTCCACACAACAACCAGAGTGTTCTAAGACACAAATCTCTTCTTAGTTTTGGGCTTAAGTTCCTCCAGTGTTCCTCTGGATATAGCCTACATCTTTAGCATGGCAGAAAAGGCCCAGGAAGAGATGGCCCAAGCCTACCCCTCTAACTCTACCCTGCCTCACACTTCCCTTGTACCCTCTGCCCCAGCCATGCTGAACAAGTTAGTATACCAAAGCTGTCATGTGCTTGTTCCTGGATCTTTGCATTCCCCTCTGGAATGCTCTTCCCTTCAATGCCTGGCTAACTCCTGCTCAATCTTAAGGCCTCTGCTTGGACTTCTTGCTCTAGTTTTCCTGACTCACAAAGATTGGCTTAGCAGCCCATGTTGGGTGTTCCCATAGCAATTCTTTACCACAGACCACTAATTTGCTTTTTTAGTCATACATAAATTGCTATGCAAATACTTCCGGCCCTGTCCTCCACTCCTTTCTGATCAGCATCCTAAGGCCCCTCCTTTACGGAACCCATGCTGCCCCATGGGACCCTGCACCATCTTTCTAAGGGCACTTATCCCACTTCTATAATTGTCTATTTAATTGCTAACTCCACAAAGGGCCATTTCTGTATCACTTATACTTAGCAGCAACTGGCAGATAGTAATTGCTCAACAAATGTTCAGTAGGTGAATTAATCCTTGTACTTACTTAGTACAACAGTTCAATGGATACATGTAATTATTTTCAAATTTACATAGTACTACAGACTTGTTGCATTATTATTATTGTTATTACTATTACTATTACTACTACTACTACTATGTGTCTGGCTGACACACTCCATGAGATCTATGCCATATTCAATTTTTTTGTCCCAGAACTCAGCATATCTGGCACATTTTCAACCAATTTTTGTTGGTTGCATCAATGATTTTAAGAAGTGAAGAAACAGGGGCCCAGGTAATTGACCTACCCAGACCACACACAGCTACTTTGTGTCAGATACAAGATTAGACCGCTGTCTGAAAAAAGGGAAGCTTGGAAAAAACTTGCTCAATATCCAAGTTGAATTCCAGCATAAATGAGATGCACTGGCTTCTCTCCAGAGAAGAGACTGGCCAGAAGCTATAGGAACTATCAGAGCCCCAGTTCCTGGTCAGGTATCCCCACAGTGGACATAACCCAAGAGCGGTATGCAGACAGGGTCCTGGGTATTTCCATATGGAGAGAAACTAGTCCCTTTGTCCCTTTCTGTAAGTTTCAACCTCAGCCTCAGGCCCTGGTCTCAGAATATTATCCTTCTCCCAAATCCGTTTGTTGCTAAGATCATTCTTTTCCTAGTATTCCTTCCCTACAGTCAGTGAGTCATTGGCAGGGGCTGGGAATGAATCACTTAGACCAGCCCCCTTAGGGTTGTTAGAGGTCCTGCTTCCAGGTTTTCATCATGAACATGCCCCCTCTTCAACTTTCTCTCCTGGTTCCAGTTCACAAACCTTTGTTCTGCCCCAGACTCTCCCCAGGGTCCCTGTTGACACTCATAAGATAGCAAAAGACAAAACAAGGAAAGATAAACTCTCATTTTTCTTTTTTTACATTTTGAGATGACTTCCCTGAACATCGCAAACCATTAGAGGACACTGAGCATCCCTTTTCTTCCATCAGAAGATCCGGCCTTAAAACTAAAGAGCCCCAGTGGAAGACAGGTAGGTTTTTCTCTCAACCTGGACTTTTTAAATCTTTTACAGTACATTTTAGGCAACCTTTAAGCATACCTACACACTGGCAGTATTTAAACTTGGCACTGGAGTGCAGATCCCAGGACTCGTGCCCTCTTAGGGACCAAGAAAGGGCAGAGTTTGAGGTAATGTGTGGCCCCAGTACCTTAGCTTCTTTTGCTCCTAGGTTGACAGGGACTTTGCTGGCATTCTGCCCACTGACCCAGGACCTGAATGGGATGCTTGAGTGAAGAGAAAGAATCTGGTACTGCCCCTTAGCCTTACCCCTACACTTAATGGTCAACCCATCAAACAACACTTTTTGCTACAACCCAACCCAGACAACACTATGACAGGCAACAAAACAAAACCCATTCCCCCTTTCTCCAAAAAATTAAATCTTGGAGTCTAGCTGCTTGCTTGACAAAGGAGACATACAGCAAAGCCTTCGGTTCCCTGACTCATAAGAGAGCTGATCACTGCTGCAATGCACATGATACCATAAGTCAACTCAGACCCCGAGGTGACTGAGTCACCTTGGCTCCACCCCCAAATCAGGGAAAATTGGATTCAGGAAGCTGGTTCTGTGCCCTCCCTTCTGAATCTCATACACCCTTAGTGCATATAGGCTTGTAAATAATAAAACTTAACACTACTTAAAAGGCTGGTGTGCTCAATCATAATTATACACACTATATTGCCCTGGCCACTGTGGCTCAATGGTTAAAGCATTGTCCCATTACTAAAAGGTTGCAGGTTCGATTCCTGGTTAGGACACATGCCTAGGTGGCAGGTTCATCCCTGGTCCAGATGCATTCATTCCCAGAACCCAGCACAGACTCCCAATCCAGGGGTGTACAGAAGCAACTGAGTAATGCTTCTCTCACATCAATGTTTCTCTCTCTCTACCTCCCCCCTCCGAAAAGCAAATGAAAATGTCCTTGGTAAGGATAAAAAAATTAACAAAAAATAAATGTGACACTATTTGTTTGCCAGTAATTATGACTCTACTTGGACACATTTAATAAACATTTTCACAAGCATTTAGTCTTAACTAAATATTTTCATCAAAAGGAAGTTCTAGAATTATACTGTGTGAGCCCCCCAAATTTGGAGAACATTACACATTCCTCCTAATCCAAAAACTTGGATAATGACAATGGGGTCTTGGTCACAGCCAGGCTGCAAGTTCAAGTCAGACCCTGTTTATGCATCATTACAGGCTCAGTGCTTAGCATAGGTCCAAACACACAGTCAACTCTCAGTAAATATTTGCTGGATTTTAATGAATCCTGTAAAAATCTCACTTGGAGACATTAGGTTGTGACGCCTCTTTCTGCTTCTTCTCCCAGGAGCTTCTGGTATAACCCAGGCTGGGCAGCAGGGGGCACCCAAGGCTGCTGCTCAAATCTGAGAGGCTATGGCAGGAACTCAGAAAGGGGGTTGGATATAGACCAGGCTTTAAAAGCCTGATGTGCCCTGCACTCCCCATGGTGACACTGGCATTCCTAAGGTGCAAGATGGCAGACTGAGCAGAGGAAGCAGGTTTCAGGGCCTCAGAACCCACAGAAATAACTCCTAAAAGAACTTTACCTTTGCAGAGAGAATGCGCAAAAAGAGAGAGAAACCTCCCACAGCTGTCAGTCTCAAAGAGCTGCTCTCACCTCAGTCCATGTGGGGAAGGGGCTACAAAGCAGACAATCTTTATTCACAACTGGGGCAGCAGAGGGGAGATACCCCCAGGTCTGTCCAAAAGCAAAGACACTGGGAAAGACGGCACGCGGCATGACCTCAGCATTCGTCCTCACCCAACAGGGCGTAAGGGTTTCTCGAGGCCAGGCTGGATCCTGGAGCTGAGGTCGGGGTGTCCTCATCCCCTTCCCCCTCCTCATCCGCATCCCGGTCCTCCTCTCCCTCCTCCTCACAGGAGCTGCTAAGCTCTTCTTCCTCCTCCTCTTCCTCCTTGTCACCTGCTGGACCCACCCTGCCCTGCAAAACCACCAGCTCCATGGTCTCCGGATGGGATTCCCAGGTGCCTTGGGAAACAAAACAAAAAGAAGAACAGAGAAGAGTTTTGAACAAGGGACTAAAGCCAGAAGATGGGGAAGAGATAAAGACTAAGAATAAAAATAATTTTTGTAGTTGCTGGAATATATTCCTTCATTCACTCATTCAACCTCCCATGTGCCAGGCACCAAACCGTTCAGCCCACATTAACTGTCACCACCTCACCAGGGGGCAACTGGCACCCTGATCTGGTAGATCAGGAAACACTTAGCAACACAGAGCTGACTGACAGGTGTAGAATCCAGGCCTGTCCCAGCTCTGTGTGGCCACAAGCCCACCCTCTCTTGCCTACACTACAGCAGGGCTGGGAGGCACACTGGCGGGCTGACCTTTCTGTTCACTATAGCCTGGGGGATGAAAGCACAGGCTGAGGCGGCCATCCAGTGCCAGCCGCAGGAGGCTGTTGGCCGCTCTGTACACATCGTTCCGCGCTGCCTTGGCTGTCTTGTAACCACGTTTCTCTGCCCAGGCTGGAGGGAAAAAAGCATAATGGGGAGGGAAGCCCATTAACCCCACTTCCCTAACACAGTCCTTCCAGTTTTCTAGAATATTCCAGGCCAAAGATCTTGCTGTCCCATGATAGAAATCTAGGGGTGGCCAGCTGTTGGGTCAGTGACAGAACATCTGAAGAGAGGAGAGGCAGAGGGCAGAGTAAAGGGCAAGGAGAGGAACCAGGCACATGGAACTCACCTTCACAGATGTCCCAGGCACACCAGGGGTGTTCTGCAGAGGGATTCTCAGCTTCCGGATGGCGCAGGTGGAGCAGAACATGCACAGGGATTCGGGAGGCCAGGTAGCCCACGGCAGTGTAGGGCTCCTGGATCTGGGCAATGGGGTAGATCCCCGCCAGAACCTAAGAGGAAAAAAGAATGCTCAGCCCCTTCCTTGATCTCCTGTCTTCCCCCTCCTTCCCCACACTGCCCTCATACCTGCAACTGCTTAGGCAGAAGAGAGGGAAATATGAGGCCCGGGCAATCACAGAGCTTCACAGAGGGGGTCAGAAAGTAGGTCTGAAAGTATCGGGTGTGGCCAGGGGTTCTGGAGACACTCACAACCTTCCGCCCCACCAGCCCATTGATCAGAGAGGACTTTCCCACATTGGGGAAACCTGAGGAAAGCAAGGAAAGTTAACACTTGACAGATCCTCACTCTGATGGGAAGGATATGGTGCTCTATCTATAGATGAAAAGGGAACTAAGGCTCAGAAATTAAGGAAGCAGTTTAATGTTGCAAGTGACAAATCAGGTTCTGGACTTCCAGGGTTGAATCCTGGCTCCTCTACTTACCAGCTTTGTGATCTCAAGGCAATTGACTTAACTTTCTGAGCCTCTGTTTCCTCATTTTACTGTGTAGATATCTCCAACCTCAGAGCAGTCAAGATCCAATGAGAAACAAATACAACTGTGTAGGTCAGTGCCTACAGTGGATTAAACACCCAATGCCAGTGAGACACGCATCTCATGATTGTATTAATTATCCAAGGAGAAGCCTGGAGACCACGGGCTCACTGACACTCTTATCATGACACCATGTTCATTCTGGCACAGATCAGCACTCTGGCCTCTCGGTACCAGGATGTCCCTTCCAAAGATCGTTTCCTCCACCCCACCTCAGCTACAGATTCCTGTGGTCATGATCTGGAGCCTATGACTTCACACCTCCAAAATCTCAACTGCAAGCATCCCCCTTCCTGACCTGACATCCCATCTTTCCAGATCACTTATCCTGATTCCTCCATTTTAATCATACTTTGACAATGACTCTAGCCTGGGAACACTATTGAACACCCAATTCATGTCCTCACTTCCCTCTTTCCCAACTTTGATTCCATGATCCCAGTCTACAGCCAATCCCTGTCACAGACCCTGGACACCCCCCTGATCCTGCCTCTTCACTCCACTCTACTAACCTGGCAAAACCCCAACCCTACAAAATGCAATTCTTTTAGCACCTGCTCCTGGCAGCGGAGTGCAGCTAGGGAAAGATGCACTACCATGACGACTGCACTCCATTTACAGCCGCTAAGAATCTCCTTTCCACAGGAGGGAGGGAGAAAACAACCCTCCTGCAACAACACCCACCAGCCCCATTTTTCTGCCACCTTTATAGTGAAACACCTTCGAAGACTCGTCTCTTTTTGGTCACCACTTATTCACGCCACCTTCTTTATGACCATGAACTCTTAACATACACATCTCCTCCTTTCTCCTTGTCTCTCAAAGAAGGGACAAAGTACCCACCTCCCCCAGGCTCCAAAAACACTTCTTTTGCTGACTTGTTTCCTGAGTCCATTTCTTCTACAGCTCACTGCTCCTACCTCTGTGACTTTCTAAATAAACTTTCTCTTATAGTTTGAAAAAAGACTGTACATACACAAAAATGTGTAAAACATAAATGTGCTGGACGAACCCCATATCACCCACTCCTGGGCCCAGAGTGTGCTATGCATCTCCAGGGGCCCCACCGGTCCCTTTTTAATCATAAGCCTCTCTCTTTTAGCCTTACTGTGAGTTGTAAGGGATTCTGTTTGTTACATTTCATTTTAGTTTTATGACCTATGTACTCTTGAATGACACAGTTCAGTTTTGTACCTTTTGAACTTTACACAAATGGACTTAGGTAATATGGAGACTGTTGTGTCTGGCTCCTGTCTCACACAATGTTACACAAAGTTCTACCGTATTGTTGCCATTCTCTCACTGGCCCACACCAATCTGGCTCTCTCTCCTCCATCCCACTGAAACCCCTCACATTCACACTGCCGAGTTCACTAAGCAAATCTCTGCTCTCATCTCACTTGATTTGTCGGCAACATTTGCTACAGCTGAGCCCTCCTTCCCTCTCCAAAAACGCTTTGCCTTTGACATCTGGGGATCCCTGTTTCCTCCTCCTTTGCCCAGCCTCTAAACACCAACTTAGCCTCTACTTTCCACCTAGCTCCTCCCCCACACCTTCCCCAATCCATGGCTGTTTTCAATACCATTTATACCAGCAGTCCCCAACCTTTTTGACACCAGGGATCAGTTTCATGGAAGACCATTTTTCCACAGACCAGGGTGGTGGGGATGGTTTTGGGATGATTCAAGCACATGACACTCAAGTTCAACTCCTGCTGTGTGGCCCAGTTCCTAACAGGCTCAGACTGGTACCAGTCTGTGGCTCAGAGGTTGGGAACCCCTGATTTATACCCACTAGTGGCTCCCCAAATTTAAATGTCCCAAATTCAAATCTCCAATTCTCTTCCCTAAGCTCCAGGCTGATATACCTATTCAATATCTTCACTAGGGATATATATTTTTAAAGATTTATTTATTTTTAAAAAGTGGGCAAGGGAGGGAGAAAGAGAGGGAGAGAAACAGTAATGTGTGGTTGCCTCTCGCACTACTACACCCACTACTGGGGCCCTGGCCCACAACCCAGGAATGTGCCCTGACTAAGAATGGAACCAAAGACCCTTGGTTTGCATGCCAGAGCTGAATCTACTGAACCACACCAGCCAGGGCTCCACTAAGAATATTTTTTAAAAATCTCAAATTTAATGACTGAATCCCCTCCCCTCCTAAACTCCTCCAACATGCTCCTCTCCCAATCCTCCTGTCTCAGTATTCCCAGTTGCTGAGGACAAAAACCTAAACTGGACATCCACTGCAATAGCTTCTGATGCACTCTCTGCTTCCCTTTGTGCCCCCCCCCATTTACTATCCCCTGTCTTACTCAAAGCCCACCCCTGGTTTCTTATAAGACTCAGAATAAATCTAAAACTCTTAGCCACAGCACCTTACATAATGTGGTACCTGACAACCTTTTTGACCTCATCCCCAATTCTCGTTTCTGGCTCCAATACTCCAATCTGTCTGTCTGGTCCCATGGTCAGCAAGCTCATTCCCACCTCCAGACCCTTTCACTTACTATCCTTGGCCCAGAAGGCCCTTACCCCACATCTCCACAGCCACTTCTCTTCATCATTCCAGGCTTTTCTCAGGAATTGTTCCAAAAGGACCGCTCCTCTTTAAGTCTCTCTCTGTCCCCTTTCACTCTTCCCTAAATAACATGATTTCAAATGATGACTCAATTTATTCACAAGAAAACAGCTCCGTAAAGAAAGAGGCTTTCCTGGCTGGTGTGGCTCAGTGGTTGAGTGTGGGCCTGTGAACCAAAGGGTCGCCAGTTCAATTCCTGCCTGGGCTGCAGACTATTTCCCCAGTGGGGGGAGCGAGGGAGGCAACCACACATTGATGGTTTGCCTCCCTCTTCCTCCCTCCCTTCCCCTCTTTAAAGAAATAAATGAAATCTTTAAAAAAAAGAAAAGAAAAGGCCTTTCTCATTTTCATGGCAGTATCTCCTCCCCCTACACATAGCATCTGTACCTGGTACTCAGGAGTGGATGAGTGAGAGTAGCACGGCAGCCCCAAACCAGGGTGGCATGTGCCAACCCGCCCTGAACACAGGCTGCCAAGACAGGGCACGGGGCCTCCTGGGATGGAGAGCTGGGCTCAGGGTCAGAGGAAGGAAAGTCAGAGGGAAATGACTGAAATGGGGAACAATCTGTCAGCAGTCAGGCAAGTTTTTCCCAAGACAGAAAGGAGACTTATCCCAAAAGGAAAGTCAGGAGCATTTCCTGGGAGCCAACTACTCTGCTCTCCCCAATTTCTACTAGGCTTGGCCTATTTTGCTTAAAATAATACCCTAGTACTACATCTTCAACAAAATCCTTTTGCATCTCTCCCACCCAAAATGAAAAGGAGTCCCGGGCCCCTCTCTCCCCCACCAAGAGCAGAAACAAATCTCTGGAATAAGGGAAGATTCTCTTTGACAACGGATTTAAAGGGTTAAGATGCAAAAAGAAACTAACATTTGCTAAACTCCTACTATGATTTAATGACCACTCTACTATGGACTAATTACTACAACTGAAACAGTTAATACACATAAGTCACTTAGTATAGTGCCTGGCACATAGTAAGACCAAATGTTAAATTTTAACAATTATTCTCATTGTCACTATTTGTCAGGCTTTGTGACAAATGTTAGACCCTCTCTATTGTCTTCTCTTCATTCCTCACATCTGTTTTTACTTGGATATCACTGTCCTCATCATAAAAGTCAAAGTACCTATGACTCAGAGTGAGTAAATACTTGCTTAGTTGTTACTTGATCAGTAACAACTGAGAAGAGACGGAATTTAACTCAGGCAATGATCGTTCCACTGCAGCAAAGGGTCTTCAGAGACCCTGGAGCCTAATGAGACCTGATCAGCTTCCCTCTTTTCCAAATGTTGAGACTGCCCTGAGAGGGCCACGACTTCCTTACCCACACAGCCAATGGTCACTACCCCGTCCTTGTAGCGCTCTCGGGTTAGGCTGGCTGGCTCCATTGCTGAGTCAGACTGTTGCTCTACCAGGACTGCTGGCCCATCATCCTCTTCCTCCTCCTCACCAGAACCATTGCCCCAGGTGGCCCCAGCCACATCACGGGCAATCTTCTCCCGCCAGCTGCTCAAATCCACTGCTCAGGGAAGGAAAAGACAAAGAAGGTTTTCCCCAGGACCACCATATATCATGGTGCATACTGTGATGCAGAGCTTGTGTAACCAATACCCTCTGGAGCAGGACAGTGCCAACCTGTACCATGGATGACTCCCCAGTCTTCACTTGACCCCACCCTGGAATCACATGCATTTCTCTGTCAAAATTTTCTGAAAAGTCCTGGGAAGCCTGATGGCAGCTGCACTAGGGCTCCCGCCTACTTGCTGCCTCTCTGGTCCCACCAAGCCAGTCTTCCATTCCTCCCCATGGCCCCTCGCCTGTGTCCGTAAATAGAGGAGTTGACTTTGAGAAAGGTGAGCAAAATGACTCTGGAACCTGGATCTCCCCCATGGCCTGCCACATCTTCTAAGGGGCACAAACCTTTCCCTGCAGTGATGGCTTCACAGGCTCTCAGCAACTGCTCCGGCCCCAGGGCCCGAGTCCATCCTCTCCCCCGCCTCCGGTTCTTCAAAACTGAGATGCAAGGGTCCAAAACGATTAGCACACCCCATCTCTGTCACCACCCTCAGGTCCAAAATCAGATACTTCATTCTCAACAAGCCTCTCTTTTCTCCCCTTTGTCCCCTGCCACGCCACCTCTCCCATGCTGCCCTTTTCATTTCCCACTCACCACTACTAGGGTCCTGTGGGATGCGGGGGTCCCGAGGGAAAGAGGTGAAAAGGACGATATGGAGCTGGGGAAAGTGCTGGTGGAAATAATGCTTCCAGGCAACCACGAGAGCCGGTGGGGCCAGATCCACCTTGTTCAGGACCAGCACCAGGGCCAGCCCAAGTTCTCCAGTCACATACTCGTAAAGTGCTGGTGGGAAATTCACAACCTGGTATAGGGTTGGTAAGGGGATGAGCAGTGAGAGGTCAACCCAGAGCCCTCTGTCTCTAGATCCCTACTCAGCAGTCACAGCTTGGAGACAAAACTCTGGTGGTAGCAGAGTCTGGGGCAAAAAAAGTAAATCAGCCAAACTGAACTAGAAAGACAAAACAGGGGTTAAGTAATACCTATGCATTTGTGTAGGAGTATGTGTACAATCTGTTAAGGTCCTCCAAAAGAGATCCTCTTGACATCCCTCACAGACCTCCCTTCCTCCCACTGAAAGACAACAGTGCAGCGGCAAAACAGGTCCACACAAGCACCATCCAGCAGCAGAGTTTAGAGCCTTAACCACCACTCCCACACTCCAGGTGAGTCCTGTACTCACTGATGTGGCAGGGGAAGGGGAAGCTCCCAGATGCCTTCATTACACCCCCAAGAACTCCACTCTGGGATATTCTACTCATTTAGCTCAGCTGGGCTGGGAAACAGGCTATGCAGTTTTCCCTTCTGTCTTTCTTTCTTTTTAAATTTTTTTCCTCACCTAAGGCCATGCTTAGTGTTGTAGAGAGAGGAGAAGGAAGGGAGGAAGAGAAACATCAATGTGAGAGAGAAACATCTATGGGTTGGCTCTTACACACACCCCAATAGGGGACCAGACCCGTAACCTAGGCATGTGCCCTGGCCAGGAATCAAACCTGCAACCTTTTTTTTGGTTTATGGGATGACCAACTGAGCCACATTGGCCAGGGTAGGCCACGCAGTTTTTCATCAAAGGAATAACCAAGAGGAGAGTCAGTTGGCCAGGAAAGAAGTGACAGGCTATGGCCCCGATGAACAGAGGTCTGAGTCTCTGACAGTAGACATCGACACAGGATAGAGACTAGAAAGGAAGGTGGATACCTCTCTGTCTCCCAACTCCTGCCTCTGCCCTTAACCCCACAAGAATCTTTCTCTCTCCTCCTGCTTGCCCAGCCTCATCCCAATACTCACTGGATGTCGGACGTCAGTGATCAGCAGGACAATGTCAGACATCTCTAACACTCGCCACAGCTGCCTCCATGTCTGAAAAGACAAGGCCAGTGGAAGAGACCCTGAGCCTTGAGTCCCTTTCCTGCCTTATTCTAGGCCAATTTGACCCTAGGTCACTGTGCTCTACTACTGTCCCCTTTCCGTTCTCACCTCCAGATTGTGCTCAAAGTAGCTAAGTTTCTCTGACATGTAAGCCCCATGAATCTTCCCAAGATACTCCTGAAAACTCCGTTCCTCCTGACTCATTAGTTGTTCCTTGGACATCTCATAGCTCCAAGGCGGCCGTCGGGGAAAGTCCAGCACTGCAAAATCAAGAAAAATCTAAGTAAGGCTGAGAATAGTTTCAGGACTCGAGAGTGTATCCCAGGCCCCTCCTTTCTCACAGTTTTTACTCTTCCACACTCCTTACCCCAGTCCAGTGCCTGTCCCAAACATCTAGGTGTTGAATTCTCACTCACCTGAACCAGGCTGATAGACTTCGTGGATGTCCAGCTCCAGCACCTCAGCACTGACGGGCTGTAACACTTGCTCCCGGGCTGCTCTCTTTCTCCTCTCCACCTCCTCCCTGCTGTCCCGTTCGAAATGCAGTCGGTATCTACGGGAACAAGAACCAAAGCATGCATCATAATCCCGCGGCCACAAACTCCCCACATGCGCAATTTCGCTCAGCTTCTCTCCCAGGTTGTTTGCCTCCTCTCTGAGTCCGCCCTCCCCCAAGTCCATCTTTCACGTAGTATTCTCACCCTTCTAAAACCAAACTCTCTCCATCTGAGAGAATAGTGGCCCGCTCCCGTGAATGCAGCGGCCCGCAGAGAACCATGGCATCCCAGCCCCACCACCTCCAGTTTCAAGCCTTCACTAGTGGCAGCTGGCTTTCCCCCTGCTGTCTGACTTCCTGGTAAGCGGGAAAGGCCCAGTCTCACCGATTTGGGTCATAGCCTCGCGGGCCCAGACCCTGGGAAGGCTGCTGGTTGAGCCTACGGATATGATGGGTCACACACTCCCCGTCCGAGGTGTCGGTCTGCTCCTCCCGCCGCTCCCGGCTCCCGCTGCGGCTGTTGGAACTGGATCGCAGCCCATCTTGAAGCCCTGCGGGGAGGAGCCGGTGACGCCAGTGCAGGTCGCCTCTCAGGAGCCAAAAGATCCCCTCCCCAGTCGGCCTGGCTCCCCCTCACCCCACCCCCACTTCTTTTGAGGCCCGATCTCTCACACAATCTGCTCAGGACCCTCCTGGATGTGCATAGGGGTAGTCACTCCTCCTCCCGGGATCTGCGGGGATGGCGCCCGTTCGAGCAAGAGGGATTCCCCTCCCCCAACTCTCCATCCTTCCCCCCTTTTCACGTAAGGATGTTGGGATAAGAGAATCCCCGCCGCAGTCGCCCGCCAGCGTGGGCAGGCCGCCACCGCCGCACCTTCCCACGCCCCCCAAAGGTGCAGAGGGCACACCCCTCCTTCCAGGCGTGCGGGAGCCCGAGCCCCGCCCCCTCCTCTCGCTACCGCACTGACCTCGCTTCCGCTCGCGCTTGTCCTGCAACTGTTTCTTTTTCTGCTTCACACTAAAGGGCTTCTTCCTCGGCATGGCCCGGACCAGTCACCTGGCCCGCCCTTCGCCGAGCTCCCGCCGCCTCAACTGACTCCCCCTCCCTGGGCCGCCCCGCCGCGGAGGCTGGGGACCCTCCAGGGGGCGGGGCCAGGCGGTGATGTCAGTGGGCAGGCCCGGTCTGTTCGCCCCGGTAGCCCGGCTGGAAGGCGGGCGGAAGAAGGAATAGATCACTTCCCTCCTAGAGCGAAGCGAGAAGATGTAGGGCGGGCTCCGGGAAAGTAAGAGCCAGTGGCACTGAGAGAGCCAGGGGGGGAGGTGCGCGTGGGAGGATCGTGCTCGCTTTGTCGCGGACGCTACCACCATGCGCTCGGAAGAGGGGGGACGTGTGTCATCAATACCTACGCGCCTGGGAGTAGCTACCACTCACCTTGAGGGGCTGTGGAGCGGCCTGCGTGGGGAGAGAGGGGCGTGGACACGCCGCAGCTACTTCTCAGCCCCAGGGCTTGACCTGAAAAGGCTGAGACTGTGCGCCGGACATTGGAACCCAGTTCTGCAGTTACTCTGTGGGTAGGGTCAGAGGTCTAGAACAGTGCGAGCGGTCTAAAGCATCCTGAGCGCCGCCCTGCCGGGATCCAAATTACTGGTGGGAAGAATGAGGAGAAGGTTTACGGATCATAAGAGCAAGCGCGGGCAAGGAGGGAAACCCAGAAGTTACTAGGGCTTTGAGGGGAAGGTCAGAGGTCACGAGGTTGTGCCTGCAGCTGTTACCATGGTAACCGGGAGCCGGCCGTGGCAGTATGTGTGCGACAGCCCTCTTCTCAGACCTAGCTCGAGAGCCTGAGGACTTTAATGTACAATGTGCAGCCGGTCGTGGAGGTTTTTTCTTCGAGAGAAGAAAGGAATTTTTCAAGCACTTATAGAAGCGCAGCGAAGGAAAGGTTTGAGATTGCCGCTTTGTCTAACAGAGACCTAGGGAGGCGGCTGACGTGAGAAAGCCACACAAAGGTACCCACACCTTTCCGGAAGCTAAATGGGGGCACTTCAGCCTCCAGGTCCACCGCACCCCGGAAGCGGAAACAATCCCAGCGTGCCCCTTCACCGTACTCGAAGTCCCGCTGCAGCCGTTGCAGCAACCACGATGCCCAAACGGAAAAAGCAGAATCAGCAGCAGCAGCTGACGCTGGACCCCCAAGTGTCAAAGCAGGAAGAGATTGGAGACGAAGACGATGGGATTCCTACGGGTGAGGAGCACGGGAGGATTGTGCACATGCCTGTCAGCAGATGGAGGCCAGGACTTAGGAGCAGAAAGGTGCGGGGGAGGGGGCTCCAACTGAAAGAGGAGGGCGCACGCGCTGAGGCTGGGGGATGGTGTTGAGGGCCTCTCCGGGATGGAGCCCTGAAGGAGATCTCTTACTTGAACCCTCAACTGCAATCCGGCTCCTAAATCTTTTCACAGGAGGCTGGGGAAGAGAGGCTATAGAGCTCGTGTGCGCTGCCAGAGAAGGGCAGGCCAGCGAGTCCTTAGAGAGGTTACAGCTTGCGGTGACTGGAATAACAATATGTGACCAGACGTTCACAGGGGAGATGGAAGTGTATCTTTTAAACTATTGGGGGGAAGGGGAGGCTGATTGGCCATCAGTTAAACAAAAGGGTCTGGATACTTTGGATAGCAACAGTGTCAGGGAAAGAGAAAATGGTGTGAAAACGCCTAACACTACTAAGAATATGCCTGGTTTTTACTGGTTGGATTAAGAAATCGATAATACAACCAAAACAAAACAGGATTGCCATGGCTGATGTTCAGTGGATTGAGTGCTGGCCTGTGAACCAAAAGGTCGCCAGGTTTGATTCCCAGTCAGGGCACATGCCTAGATTGTTGGCCAGATCCCCGGTAGGGGACACATGAGAGACAACCACACATTGATGTTTCTCTCCCTCTATTTCTCCCGCCCTTCCCCTCTCTCTAAAAAATTTTTTAAAATATTTTATTGCTTTTTAGAAAGGGGGGATGGGAAGGAGAAAGTGGGAGAGAAACATTAATGTGTGGTTGCCTCTCATGTGTCCCCTACTGGGGACCTGGCCTGCAACCCATGCATGTTCCCTAACTGGGAATCAAACCAACAACCCTTTGCTTCACAGGCCTGTGCTCAATCCACTGAGCTACACCAGCGGGGGTGGGGGGGGGTTTAAAGAAGAATAGGGTCATTAGTCCCTCAGTTCATTATAATGACCATATTTTTGTGTTTCCTCTTAGGACCACCCAGCCTTCTGGGCCCTCCCCCTATGGCCAATGGAAAGCCCAGTGACTCCAAGTCAGGTGAGGAGGAAAGGACCCAAATCCTTTGATTGTGTCCTAGAGAAGGGAAGAACTAAAACCTAGGAAAGACTTAAAAGCAAAAGATCAGGGATTTGGTACCTAAATGAAGAGATGTTGTGTATTAACAGGTTGGAAAACTCAAGTGTAGTAAAAATGTCAGTTCTTTGTAAATTAATCTGTATAGTCTATGCATTCCCAGTTATAATCTCTATAATTTTTGTGGAAATAAACATTCTACATTATTATAAGGAAATGCAGAGGATCAGGTGAGAGACTGCAAAGATAATCTTTTTTTTAACATTTTTTTATTGATTATGCCATTACATTCGTTCTATTCCCCCCTCCATTCCCCTCCACCCTGCACAACCCTCCCCCACCACCCCCCCTTAGTTTATGACCATGTGTCTCAAGTTCTTTAGATTCTGTATTTCCCCTACTCTTCTTACCCTCCCCCCTATTTTCTATCTACTGTCTATGCTACTTATTTTCTCTACCTTCTCCCCCCTTCTCCCACTCCCCTGTTGCTAATCCTCCACGTGATCTTCATTTCTATGGTTCACTCCTGATCTAGCTATCCTCTTAATTTGCTTTTGTTTTAGGTGTGGTTGTTGATAACTGTGAGTTTGCTGTCCTTTCACTGTTCAACTTTTTTATCTTCTTTTTCTTAGGTAAGTCCCTTTAATATTTCATATAATAAGGGCTTGGTGATGATGAACTCCTTGAATTTGATCTTATCTGAGAAGCACTTTATCTGTCCTTCCATTCTAAATGAAAACTTTGCTGGATAGAGCAATCTTGGTTGTAGGTCTTTGGTTTTCATGACTTGGAATACCTCTTTCCAGCCCCTTCTTGCCTGTAGGGTCTCTTTTGAGAAATCAGCTGACAGTCTGATGGGGACTCCTTTGTAGGTGACTGTCCCCTTATCTCTTGCTGCTTCTAGGATTCTTCCTTCATTTTAACCTTGGGTAATGTAATGATGATGTGCCTTGGTGTGTTCCTTCTTGGGTCCAACTTCTTTGGGACTCTCTGAGCTTCCTGAATTTCCTGGAAGTAGATTTTTTCCGCCAGAATGGGGAAGTTCTTTTTTATTATTTGTTCAAATAAGGTTTCTACTCGTGGCTGTTCCTCTTCTTCTTCTGGTACCCCTATAATTCAGATGTTGGCGTGTTTAAAGATGTCCTGAAGGTTCCTTAGCCTCTCCTCATTTTTTTGAATTCTTGTTTCTTCATATTTCTTGTTTGGTCATTTTTTTTCCTTCCTTCTGGTCTACTCCCTTGATTTGAGTCCCAGTCTCCTTTCCATTACTATTGGTTTCCTGTGTATTACCATTCATTTCAATTAGTTTAGCTTTCATTTGTTTCTCTAATTTGTGACTAAAATCGACCAGTTCCGTGAGGATCCTGATAACCAGTGTTTTGAACTATGCATCTGAAAGTTTAGCTATTTCAGAACTTCCGCCAAGATGGAGGCATAGGTGGATGTGCCGTGCCTTCTCCCACAACCAAGATTAGAGAAAACTAAATATTAGCAACAGAAAACACAGCCAGACACGGAAAATTGAACTTTTCGGAAGTCCGTTAACAACAAATTCTTCAGCCTGACCGGTAAGGGGCGAAACCAGCAGCTGGCGGAGCAGGGTTGCACAGGAGGACTCGGCCAGACACACTCAGGCCCGCGGAATCCAGGCGCAGGGTCAGACCTAGTGAGCGACCCAGCGAGCAACCAGGCGAGCGACCTCGGGGGAGACAGCCGGGCCCGGGGCTGCGTGTTGACTGAGGTCGCGCATTTGTGTGAGGGTGGACAGGCGAGGGAGTGGGCGGTTGGACCGGGCCGGCAGGTCCCCACGGCAAGCGGCAGTGGCCATTTCCCTGCTCTGACCCCACCTCCACATACAGCGTCATAACCCACCGACTCTGAGTGGCCCGGCACAGGTGAACCACCTAAGGCACTGCTCCTCCGCACCCAGCTGTGAGAAGCGGCAGAGGGGGTCGCCATTTCCCCGCTCTGGCCACGCCCCCACATATAGCGTCACAACCCAGCGACCTGGGAATCCAAGGCACCACTTCTCACACTTAAAGGGCCCGAACAGACCAAGAATGGTGCAGGAGGATCTCAGAGCCCCAGAAATAAATCTAAGCGATGAAGAAATAGCAAAACTCACAGACGCACAGTTTAAAACATTGGTGATCAGGATCCTCACAGAACTGGTTGATTATACGGACAAATTAGACAAATATATGAAGGCGAAACTAATTGAAATGAATGGAATTGCACAGGACACCAATAGCAATGAAAAGGAAACTGGGACTCAAATCAATGGAGTGGACCAGAAGAAAGCAAATAATGGCCAAACAGAAAAGAGTCAAGAAGCAAGAATTCAAAGAAATGAGGAGAGTCTTAGGAACCTCCAGGACATCTTTAAACGCTCCAACATCCGAATTATAGGGGTACCAGAACGGGGAAAGGCACAGCCATCAGTGGAAAACTTATTTGAACAAATAATAAAGGAGAATTTCCCCAATCTGGCAAAGGAAATAGACTTCCAGGAAATCCAGGAAGCTCAGAGAGTCCCAAAGAAGTTGGACCCAAGAAGGAACACACCAAGGCACATCGTAATTACATTAGCCAAGATTAAAATGAAGGAGAGAATCCTAGAAGCAGCAAGAGCTAAGGGGACAGTCACCTACAAAGGAGTCCCCATCAGACTGTCAGCGGATTTCTCAAAAGAGACCTTACAGGCAAGAAGGGGCTGGAAAGAGGTATTCCAAGTCATGAAATCTAAAGACCTACAACCAAGATTGCTCTATCCAGCAAAACTTTCATTTAGAATGGAAGGACAGATAAGGTGCTTCTCAGATCAGATCAAATTCAAGGAGTTCATCATCACCAAGCCCTTATTATATGAAACGTTAAAGGGACTTATCTAAGAAAAAGAAGTTAAAGAAACATGAACAGTGAAAGGACAACAAACTCACAGTTATTAACAACCACACCTAAAACGAAAGCAAACTAAAAGGACAGCTAGATCAGGAGTGGAAACATAGAAATGAAGATCTCAAGGAGGGTTAGCAACAGGGGAGTGGGAGGAGGAGAAGGGGGGAGAAGGTACAGAAAATAAGTAGCATAGACAGTAGATAGAAAATAGATGGGGGGGGCAAGAATAGCATGGGAAATATAGAATCTAAAGGACCTGAGACACATGGTCATAAACTAAAGGGGGGGTGATGGTGGGGATGGGGGGTAGGGTGGAGGGGAATAAAGGGGGAATAGAACAACTGTAACAGCATAATCAATAAAAAAATTAAAAAAAAAAAAGAAAGTTTAGCTATTTCTTCATCGCTTAGATTTATTGGCTCTGGGGCTCTGAGTTGTTCTTGAGCCATTTTTGGTCTGTTCACACCATTAAGTGTGAGGAGCGGAGCCTTAGTTGTTTACCAGGGTGGGGCCACCCAGGTCGCTGAGTTGTGATGCTGTATATGGGGGAAGGGTCAGAGAGGGAGCAATGGCAGTCCTCTCCACTAGCCCAGTCCATCCCACCATCTCCCTGGCCTGTTTATCCTAGCGGAATTATGCGAGTCTGCTGTCCCTCGCCGTGGGGTCTCAATGCTCGCCTCTTCACTGGTTTATCTGCATGCAAATCTGCGACCTACAGCAGACAGCCAGCTGCCCTCTTCCCTGTGTGTGCCCGTAGGTAGCCCGCACCTGTGATCCGTGCCTTTGGCTGCTTGCACACCACCCGGTGGCGGATCTTTTTGGTCAACCCGCTCTGCTGCTGGTTTTGCCCCTCTTACCAGTTTAGCTGAGCATTTCGTTGTTTTCAGACTCCGTATTGTCAATTTTCTGTGTGGTTTGGTTGTGTTTATTGTTGGTCGTGTGTGGACGCAAGGTATTTCCACCTACGCCTCCATCTTGGCGGAAGTCCAGATCTACTTTGCAAAGATAATCTTGAAGTGAAAGTGCTTGCTCTGAATATCAAGACCTAGTGTAAAGCTAGTTATAATGTGGTGTTGAAACAGGGATAGACATGTAAGTCAATAGAACAGCATAAAGGGTCCAGTAATAGTCCCACACATATCTGAAATAGTGGTCTTTTCAGTTACTGATGATAGATTAATTGAATATTCATTATATTCATTAATTGAATATTCAAAAATGAAACTCAGTTTATTCATACCATATACAAACGTCAATTCCAAGTGGAATCTAGATCTAAGTGTAAAAGATAAAGAAATAATTCTGGGAAATAAATATATTACATTGTCTTAGAGTTAGATAAGAGTTTTTACACAGGAAACACACACTAACCATAAAGATTTATAAATTGAACTATATTAGAAAATAAACATCTTCTAACCAAATGGCACCATTAAGAAATTAATAGAATAAGCCCTGGCTGGTGTAGCTCAGTGGATTGAGCACGGGCCTATGAAGCACAGGGTTGCCGGTTTCATTCCCAGTCAGGGCACATGCCTGGGTTGCAGGCCAGATCCCTAATAGGGGACACATGAGATGCAACCACAAATTGATGTTTCTTTCCCACTCTCCTTCCCGTCCCCTCTCTCTAAAAATAAATAAATAAAATATTTTTTAAAGTTGAAAAGAAGAAATTAATAGAGTAGAAGATACTTAAAACAAATGTAAGTAATAAGGAGCTCAAATCTAGAATATATGAAGAGCTCTTATGGACAGCCTGTTAGAAAAATGGTAACACTGGAATAGCCACCTCATAAAAACTGGAATTTAAATGACAAAAACAAGTGAGCAGAACATCATTAGTTGACAAATAAATGCAAGATAAAAGTATACCACTCTGAAATTGAAGTGCTTGTGCACTGTTGGTGAGATTATAAAATGGTACAACCACTATGGAAGACAGTATAGAAGTTCCTCAAAAAATTAAAAATCGGGCCTGGCTGGTGTTGCTCAGTGGATTGAGCACCAGGCTGCGAACCAAAGGGTTGCCGGTTCAATTCCAAGTCAGGGCACATGCCTGGGTTGTGGGCTAGGTCCCCTGTAGGGTTGTGTGAGAGGCAGCCAGCCACACACTGATACTTCTCTCCCTATTCCTCCCTCCCCCCTCTCAAAAAATAAACAAGTAAAAAAAAATAATGCTTAAAACTTCAGGGGGGTGGAAATGGGAGAGAGATGGGGAGCACGAGGGGGGTGGGCTGGGATGGGAGTAAAAAACAAAACTACTTGAACAATAAATAAATTTTAAAATATATTTTTTTTAAAAAAACTTCAAACTCAGCAGAATTGCAGAATATCAAACAGAGTTGTCCAGGCTGTAGGACAACTGCTAGTAAGGGTATAAATTGGTATAGCCACTTTTAAAAAGTTTGAGATTTTATTAAACTTGAGCATACATATACTATAGGACCCAGTAATGCCTCTACTAGATATATACTCAATAGAAATGCTTACATATGTTAACAGAGACGTGTATAAAAATATTCATAGCAGCATTTTTTGTTATAGCCCTAAACTGGAATCTACCCACATGTCCACCATCAGTAAAATGGATAAATAAGTTGTGTATACTTGCATTTGGATACTACACTGCAATGAAAACGAACTCCTGCTGCAAGCCACCTGGATGAATCTCACAAACATGATGTTGAGCAAAAGGAGCCAGACACAAAAGAATGCAGACTGTATGATTCCACCTATGCAAAGTTCAGAAAACTAACTGGCAAAAACTAACCTACAGTGGTAAAAGGCAGGACAGTGGTTACCTTTGGGGAGGAGGTTAACAAGGTCCTGTCCCTTCACCTGGGTGGTAAAAACACAAATGTGTTTACTTTGGTGATAACTAACACTTGAAATTGGTATATATTTTTTGTGTATAATGTACTCCAATAAAAAGTAAAGAAAACAAAATTCGGGCTTATCAGGTTTAAGTTAGCCCTTGGTCACCTTTCCATGGTGTCCCTCTCTTTCTCTCTCTCTCTCTCTAGCTCTTCACAGAGGTCCTCCAGGATCAAGGGGACTCATGATTCCACCACTGCTGACTCTCCCGCCTCCTCTCCGGGGCAGAGGCCCAGTTTGGGGCGACTTTGCCCCCAGGTGTGGCCCATATGGTCGTGGTTGGTGGGGGGTCAGTGCCGAGCCTACCTTTCCCAGACCAGGCCATAGTAATCCCTTCAGGGGAGGCTTTCACAAAGAACAGAGACAACCTCGAAGGCTCAGAAGCTGGTCACTTGTCAAGAATACCTGCCTTCCCAAGAATGAACCCCAGATTATGGAAGGTGAGGCCCGTTTGCTTTGCTTTGTTTTGTTTTTTTTTATGCCTATGTACATTTAATACCCATCACTCCCAGAGTGACCATGACTCTTCCTTCGGGCTGTCCTTTGTCCTCTTGAAGTGTGGGAGTAAGCCTGAATGTTTTTTCTCCTAGAAGAAAGACTACCATTTCAGAATATCTAGAAATGGTAGGGAATAGGAAGTCTGACTATATACTCTGTATCTCTACTGTTACATTTATTTTCTTTCTTACATTTTAATTGACCCATTTTCATGTGTTCACAGACAAATCTGACCGCCCTGTTTGCCGACATTTTGCCAAAAAGGGCCACTGTCGATATGAGGACCTCTGTGCCTTCTACCACCCAGGCGTCAATGGACCTCCTCTGTGAGACTGCCTTCCCATCCAACCTGGAAGGAGCCCTCCATGCCCTGTCCGCCACATATTTCCCTGTGGCCCTGTAGTGGCTACTGTGATGTTGTTCAACCCAGCACCTTCCAGTCAGTGACACCCACCCCTATTCACCGCCTCTCCCATTTGGGGTCCAGGGTTGTGTTTCATCACTGGTACACAGTGTGTGCTCTTCTGATCAGCCTCCAGAGACTTGCCTTCGATATCCCATCTTTGTTCCTTTCAACTGCTTCCTGGATCCTTTATCCCTTGCCAACTGACTGCTAAGCAGGAAATTTACTTGGTGCTGTTTCTTGTGCAATTGTCCATCAAGCCCCCAGTATTGCCCTCAATTCCTGAGCCCTGGAGCAGTTTCCTACCATTCCCTCCCAGCTGCTTATTATAAGTCCTTTATTTGTGATACCTCCTACTCCCAATGTTATCCGCTGCTCTGCGAATCTCCCCAGGTTGTCTGACCTGGGGTCAAGTTTCAATGACTGGTACAGAGTCACTCCCTGAAAAGCCATTGTCGGGCTTTTGGATTTTGTAGTTTCGCCATCAGTAGCATGGCCCCCACCACTGTGGTCTGTGATCACTGTCCTTTGTGAGATCTGCATTCTCTCGTAGCCTTTTTCATTGTCCATGGCATTTCTGTGGCTTAACACACTAGAGTATTTCTGCCAAATGAGTGAGGTTCTTGGTGCCCTCTAGACTTTCCCCAACCCCAAAACGAGAGAACTGTGAAACTTCCCACAAGAGGGCTTCCTTGGCCTCATGAGATGTCCTCTAAAGCCTCTGGTGGGCCTACCCCATCCCCTCTACAGCCCATTTTAGTTAGACTGCATCATTTTGAGGCCACCAGGCTTTTTTGAATTCTGTAAATCTCCACCTGGCCTGTCTTTGGGTATAACCTGGACAGTATTGTCCTTGTCCAACCTCTACTTCCCTGGCACTGGTTGTTTTCTGTGAAAACATCAGTGAACAGGCTGTTTTGAACTGACCATGAGGATATGGGTCAGGAGTTGTTAGGGCAAGAAGGAGGGCTGTTGAACTGAAAGTGATTTTTTTCTTTTTAAGATAATTTATAGTAGTAATAAATGCAGTGGAAATGAACATTTTCTTTAGTTCCTATGTTCTGATCATCTCTGGAGGTGCAGACGAGGCTATTGGTGAAGTCATTGGGTTTTTTTTAAAGCATTTTTTGAAGACTTTTTAGATGGGGAAGGAGGGAGAGAAACATTAGTGTGTGGTTGCCTCTTGCATGCTCCTACTGGGGACCTGGCCTGCAACCCAGGCATGTGCCCTAGACTGGGAATCGACCCAGTGACCCTTTGGTTTGCAGGCCTGCACTCAGTTCACCAAGCCACAGACCAGCTAGGGCTTGAAGTCATTTATACTTCATTTCATACATAATGGTGATGGAGAAAGGTAAAGCTTAAGCTTCTTCCAGGCTGAAGGAAGCAGTAGGGGTCCCATTAACTAGACTGGGCTACATTATATTAAGGGTAAAGTTTTGTGGGGAAAGGAATAGCCAGGTATCCATGGAGTAATTTCTAAACATCTGTGTGTATAGATTTGATATTTATGGAGTGGTGGTGACAGCAGTCTTCCAATAAAGATTTTTGGGGCCAGGCACTATAGGGAATAGAGACAGCAGCCAAAACCAATGAGTTGAAAATCCACAGGGTAGGATGTGTTTATCAACAGAAATCACAAATTTACCCTGGCTGGTGTGGCTCAGTAGATCGAGCACCCAGCCTGCGAACCAAAGGGTCATTCAATTCCCAGTCGGGGCACATGCCTGGGTTGCAGGCCAGGCCCCCGTTAGTGGGCTCATGAGAGGCAACCACGCACTGTTTCTCTTTCTCTAAAAGTTTTTTTTTTTTTTTAAGAATCACAAAGAGTGTAACGTTAGACTTGTCAAAAGTGCTGTAAAGAAGCAAGATGTGATAAAAAGGGGAGTATATGGTAAAGGAAACCTCCAAAGGTGACAACAGGCAGGCTCTGAAGGGTAAGTAGGAGGTGAAGTGGGACCGTTTAGTCCAGGCAAAGATGAGGGACAACATACAATAAAGTTGCAGGATACAAAATCGATGTAGAAAAATCCTTTTGTAATTGCAACAAAAAAACCCAAAATACCTAGGAATAAATTTAAAGGACATGAAACACCTATATACTGAAAATTATACTGTATTATTAGAAGATAGGAAAAGACACAACATGGGAAAATATTCTGTGTGTGTGGGTTGGGAGAATCTATATAAAATGGCCATATCATCAAAAATAATATGCAGATTTATATGGAAACACACACAAAACCCAAGTAGCCAAAGCAATTCTAAGAACAAGCTGGAGGTATACTACCTGGCTTCAAATTATACTACAGAGCTAGGATAATCAAAACAGCATGGTATTGCCAGAAAAACCAGTGGAAGAATTGAGAGCCCCAATGTCAAACTACATGTACATGGACATAATTTTTGACAAAGTCAAAAACACAAGGGGGAAAGTCTCTTCAAAAACAGTGCTGGGAAAATTGGAAAGCCATATGCAAGAGAATGAAACTAGACTATTGTTTGTCCTCACGTACAAAAATTAATTGGAAGTGGATTGTGCCCTGGTTGGTGTAGCTCAGTGGATTAAGTGTGGGCTTCGAACCAAAGGGTTGCTGGTTTGATTCCCAGTCAGGGCACATGCCTGGGTTGCGGGCCAGGTCCCCAGTGTGGGGTGCATGGGAAGCAACCACACATTGATGTTTCTCTCCCTCTCTCTCCTCTTCCCCTCTCTTTAAAAATTCTTTTTAAAAAAGACTTTATTTATTTATTTTAGAGAGAGTAGAAGGAAGGAAGAAAATAGAGGTAGAGAAACATTAATGGGTTGCCTCTGAGCTTGTAACGCAGGCATGTGCCCTGAGTGGGAATTGAACCAGTGACTCTTTTGTTCACAGGCCAGTGCTCAATCCACTGAGCCACACCAGCCAGGGTTAGACTGGTTTTTCAAGAATATCAGTTCATTGTAGGGAGCTGGCCAGGCCTAGAGGTAGAGTTAAACGTTACTTCAGTAATCCAGGTGAGCTTCAGTGGTGGCATCATCTCTGGTTGTAGAGTTGAGGAAAAGTGGAATTTGGGAAATAAGAGGATAAAATGCAAGTATGTTAGGTTTTGGAAGGTAGCTCTGGCTTACATAACTATGGGCCATTTAAAAAGAAAGGTACTGAGGACCTGGCTGGGGTGGCTCAGGAGATTGAGTGCTGGTCTGTGAACCGAAGGGTCACTGGTTTGATTCCTAGTCAGGCATATCCGTGGGTTTTGGGCCAGGTCTCCAGGAGGAGGTGAGCAACAGGCAAATACACATGGATATTTCCCTCCCTCTCTTTCTCCTTTCCCCTTTCTAAAATTAGGTAAGTAAAATCTTTTAAAAAAAATTAAAAGGTGAGGAACAAGTATGAAAGACAGGGATGAGGACTGGTGGGGGGGGAATGGGAGGGAGGGGGGAGACCGGGCGGGGGGGGGGGATGGGAGAAATAGATAAAAATGTACTTGAAAAGTAACTAAATAAAATTTAATTTAAAAAAATAAAATAAAATAAAAAATAAAAAGGTATTGGGGAAAAACAGGCAGAATGCCACTAATTTCCTTTTGAAATGGTTGTGTCTGAGCTGCATTTTTAAAGACATCCAAAGGAGGATGCAGTTGTAGTTTTGGTATTCAGATGAAAAGGAAGCATACATCTGAGTTATCTGCATCAAGGTGGTGGTTGAATTAATGACCATGGATATATTTATTCACTGTAAATATCATGTACCTATTATGGCCCAGTTTTTCAACTGTAAGTTCAATTGTAACAGCAACCAGATAATATAGTTTACTTGTCTCACAAGTCAAGAGGTAGACAGTCCAAGGCATGTATGACAGTCATGCCACTACAAGGTCCTTGGGTATTACCGCCCCCCAGATTTCAGCTCCACAATTCCTTGGGTCAGACCCTCCTATTCACAGCAAAACTCCAGTTTGCTCATCCATGCTCCAAGCCACAGAAATGAGGAAGGGTAGAGCACACCAGCTGTCTTGAAGGGAATTTCCTTGGAGCTAACATACAGGTCTTCAATTTATATGCTACCAGCCATAACTTAATCCTGTGGCCAATACTTAGCCACCAGTGAAGCTTGGAAAAGTACTCTATTCAGGCAGCCATGTGCTGAGCAAAATGTTGGACTTTCAGCAGGTGAAAATGGGATAGGATGAATATCTTCTACAAGCCACTCCCCAACAAAATTTCAGGATGCAGTAGAAAATGAGACAGTAAAAGTGACAATCCCCTTCCAGTCAGAGGCCACAAGGGACAACACACCTATAGTCAAACAAAGTTTGGTTTATTAACTCTGAAGACATTATCTCATTACAAGGGCTAGGGATGACAGGATTAGGGTCTGTGTTAGGTGATTGGGGGAAGGTTCAAGAGAGGATTTTTTCTAGATTGGGAACTCTTGGGAAGTAGAGGCAAGTCTACAATTGCACATCTTGATTAAATCTCATCTAGAAGGGAGGAAAAACACCTTGGCAGCTGTGCTCAGTGGATTGATCACGGGCATGCAAACCAGTAGAGGGCGCACAAGAGGCAACCACACATTGATGTTTCCACACTTCCTCCCTTCCCCTCTGTCTAAAAAAATAAATAAAATCCTTTAAAATTAAACATGGCTCAAGCTTTAACTTGGTAAAAAAATAAAAAAGCAGCCATCACTCATTGCAGCCAAGAGGAGGCTGTTTACTATGGTTTAGTATTTATGGTTTACACGATGACCTTGTTTTTGTCCATGCTCAGACAAGATTATGAACTTTGTCTTCATTGCTGTCACTGAATGACCTTGCCCACTACAGGTGTCCTGTGAGGCTCATGATAAACATGAGCACGTGTGTCCTAGTTGTGAGTGCCAGGCCATTTCCCAGTCATCAGGGCCTAGTTTTCTCAAAAAATAAATAATTACAGATTGTGATTAATTATATAAAGGAAATAAATAGTATATTACATAGAGCAGGAGTGTCAAACTCATTTTCACTGGGGGCCACATCAGCCTCACAGTTGCCTTCAAAGGGTTGAATGTAATTTTAGGACTGTATAAATGTAACTAACTTCTTCACAGTTAAGTGAGAGCTCAGTGCTGTTGCCTGGTAGAAACAAGGAGGAGGACCGGATTCAGCCCACAGGCCTGTGTCTGCCACCAGTGGCATAAAGAATAACACTTGGGGGCTACTCAAGACATGGTGGTTAGGAAAGACCTGGCTGGAGAATCTGTAGCTAAAGTCACCTGGGAGGAGAACATCAGGTGGGAACAAAGAGGGTCCAGAACTCAGCCTTGAGGAAACTGACATTAATGAGTAAGTCAAGACGGACAAGGATGAACCAGACAAGTAAACATGAGGTGTGGCCAGAGAGGTAGGAAAGATCTCAGAGTGCAATGTCTTGTGGTTGCTCTGTGTTCTTCATATGTATTGTCTTATTTGAGCCTCACATTCATTCAATGAACGCTTTAGTGCCTTCTCTGAGCCAGGCGCTAGGTGCTAGGGGTGTACCAATTAAAAAGACAAAATTCTCATTCATATGGTGCTTATAGTGTATTGAGGATGATCAACAATAAGGACATGTGTAATATAATCTTAAGTAATAAGTGCTCTGAAGAAAAACAAAGTGAAAGAAGAGGCTGGAGAGTGATAGGTCAATACCACAATACATAGGGCTTTGAGGAGGTAATGTGCAAATAGAGCCCAGCACTAAATGAGAAGGCAACCACATGAATATCTGGAGGAAATGCATTCCAAGCATAGAGAACAGCCAGGGCAAAGGCCCTGAGGCAGAAATGAGTCTTAGTGTTTCAAATAAAAATAAAAGGTCTGTGTGGCTAGCTAGACTGCAGGAGACTAGATCGGAAAGTTCAACAGGCCAAGTCATAGAAATCCCTGTAAACCAAAGCAAAGCATTTAGATTTTATTCAGAGCGATTTGAGCAAATGAATTACATTTTTAAACTACTACTAACTGAAGAATAGATTTGAGAATGAGAATAACATCAGGAACGCCAGTTAGGAGGTCACTCCTGTTATCCATGGGAACGATGGTGGCTTGGTATGGAGTATAGGTGGAGAAAATTGGGCAGATTTAGGATGTATTTTAAAGTCTTAGTTGATGACAAAAGTGGGCATCCTTGTCTTGTTCCTGATCTTAGAGAAGGAGCTTTCAGTTTTTCATCATTGAGTATGATATTATCTGTAGGTTTGTCACATATAAGCAATTGAATTCCTGAGCCTGAAGCTTACAGCAGAGGTTGAAGGCAGTAAGAGACATGTGCACATGTTCATCAGTTATGGATGGCTTTTATTTTTTAAAGGTTTTTAAATATATATTTTATTGATTATGCCATTACAGTTGTCCTATTCCCCCCTTCATTCCCCTCCATCCTGCACATCCCTCCCCCTACCATTCCGCCCCTTTAGTTTATGTCCACATATCACAAGTTCTTTAGATTTTATATTTCCCATATTATTCTTGCCCTCCCCCCTATCTATTTTCTACCTACAGTCTATGCTACTTATTCTCTGTACCTTCTCCCCCTCTCTCCTCCTCCCACTCCCCTGTTGCTAACCCTCCATGTGATCTCCATTTCTGTGGCTCTGCTCCTGATCTAGCTGTCCTCTTAGTTTGCTTTTGTTTTAGGTGTGGTTCTTAATAACTGTGAGTTTGCTGTCCTTTCACTGTTCATCCTTTTTATCTTCTTTTTCTTAGATAAGTCCCTTTAACATTTCATATAATAAGGGCTTGGTGATGATGAACTCCTTGAACTTGACCTTATCTGAGAAGCACTTTATCTGTCCTTCTATTTTAAATGAATACTTTGCTGGATAGAGCAATCTTGGATGTAGGTCTTTGGATTTCATGACTTGGAATACTTCTTTCTAGCCCCTTCTCGCCTGTAGGGTCTCTTTTGAGAGATCGGTTGACAGTCTGATGGGAACTCCTTTGTAGGTGACTGTCCCCGTATCTCTTGCTGCTTCTAGGATTCTCTCCTTCATTTTAATCTTGGCTAATGTAATGATATATGCCTTGGTGTGTTCCTTCTTGGGTCCAACTTCTTTGGGACTCTCTGAGCTTCCTGGATTTCCTAGAAGTCTATTTCCTTTGCCAGATTGGGGAAGTTCTTTATTATTTGTTCAAATAAGTTTTCCACTGGTGGCTGTTCCTCTTCCCCTTCTGGTACCCCTATAATTCGGATGTTGGAGCATTTTAAAATGTCTTGGAGGTTCCTAAGCCTCTCCTGATTTTTTTGAATTCTTGTTTCTTCATTCTTTTCTGTTTGGTCATTTTTTTCTTCCTTCTGGTCCACTCCTTTGATTTGAGTCCCAGTTTCCTTTCCATCACTATTGGTTTCCTGTGCACTTCCCTTCATTTCAATTGGTTTAGACTTCATTTGTTCCTCTAATTTGTGACTAAAATCAACCAGTTCTGTGAGCATCCTGATCACTAGCGTTTTGAACTGTGCATCTGATAGGTTGACTATCTCTTGGTCACTTAGAATTATTGGTTCTGGGGCTTTGAGTTCTTCTTGAGCCACAGTGTTTTGGTCTGTTCGCACCTGTTATGTATGAGGGGCGGAGCCCTAGGTGTTCACCAGGGCAGGGCAACCCAGTCGATGAGTTGGGATGCTGTATGTGGGAGTGGGGTCAGAGAGGGGCAACAATGGTCCCTTCTGCTGCTTCCTGCAAGCCGCTGGGGCCTGCGTGGTCTGTCTCACGGCTCGCTCCTTCGCCTGGTTTATCTGCCTTCGAATGTGTGTGACCGTGGTCAGCCTGCCGCCTTATGCCCTCATTGGGTCTGCCCCTTGCAACCCCATGCCTGGGATCTGCCAACAGCCACCTGCACCTGGGTGAGTTTGGCAGAGTTTTCCTATGCAACCCCACTCTGACAGCCGCTGCTTCCATCCCTCTTATCAGTCTGGCTGAACGGTTCATTATTGTTGTGAGACTTCCATACAATTCAATTTTTTGTGTTTTGGTTGCGTTTTTGTTACTAAAACTTTGTTTTTAAACTTGGTTGTGTGAGAAGGCACAATGTTTCCACCTATGCCTCCATCTTGGCCAGACTAAAGGTTTTATTTATTACTTATCTTTAGAGAGAGAGGAAGAGAGGGAGAGAAACGTCATTGTGTGTTGCCTCTCACACGGCTCCCACTGGGGATCTGCCCAAAACCCAGGCATGTGCCCTGACTGGGAATCAAATCTGTGAACTTTTGGTACACAGCCCATGCGCTCAGTCTACTGAGCTACACCAACCAGGTGTGGATGACATTTAAAGTCATGTGACATAGGTAATAGGTCTAGATAAAGACGAGTGTCAAATAATAGTCCCAAAATATTTCAACATATATATGCCAGAACTTACCAAAATACACAGTTCGCAGTTTCCTTGTCAATTTATTATATGTGCATTTTATCATATACTATACTTCAATAAAGCTTTTGCCAAAAAGGGGGGGTGGGTGGAGTAGGAGGACTTAAGCTCCATCCCACCGTGATTTCTGTTAGGCTAGAGTACTTCCTCGTTTACAACTATGAACTTGGAGGTTTTGCGATACATCTCAACACCAGACCGACAAGTCCTGAAAAGATGAACTGTGTTTTTCTGCTCCTAACCAGACGTAAGGGGCTGGTCGAAGGTAGCACCCACTCAAGAAAAGAATAGGATGCCCCCATTATTTCGTACTAGTCGGAAATTAGTGATGCTGCATCCGGGGCTTCCCAGACTGTCATAAATGCTCCACCTACGCTGCGCGCTGGCAGACTCCAGCCCGCCCTAGTAGTGGCAAGCCACGCCCCCACCGATTACCGGCACGCCCCGGAGTTGCCGGTGAAGCGTGCACCAACTCCGCCGGGGGGCGGGGCTGGACGTGTGGGCGTGGAAATGCAGTCGTGTGTACAGCCCCACGCTACCGGAAGCGGAAATTGCTGTCGGCACCGCCGGAGTATACGTAACTGCCGTCGTGATGCCGAGGGGTCCCAAGCAGCAGCCGTCGGAGCCCGAGTGGATCGGAGAAGGGGAGGGCACGAGCCCCGCAGGTGAGGCTTGTGGGCAGGGAGGGAACAAAAGAGGGAAAAGAAGAGAAAGAAGAGTGCCCCTGTTTTAGGAGAGGATCATGGAACACGAGACTGACCGGGCCTTGCGGGGCTACTGCGCATGCGTGCATTGAGGTGAAGAAGCGTTTTCCCAGTCAGTAGTGAGTTTAGGGTGCGGGGCGAAAGAAAAGTCACGCGTGTAGCTCAGGAACTTAAGTTGGACTGGGCAAAGAGACAAGGAAGAGCATATGGAACCGGAGGAGAAATGGGGAGAAGTATGAAAGTCCTCTATTATCTTTTGGACATATTCCGCACCACACTGTATTCTACATCCCACAGAAGTACTTGAGCAGTACCCGGATCTCGCCGCGCCATAGTGCTGCTGAGCACGTGTGTGCAGACACACCCCCCCGAGGAGCCCATGATCCCACCTACTTCTTGAGAGAGGATGGCTCCTTCATGGGCTCTTTCATAAGGCACATCTGACTCACCTGGAGCACGAGTGAAGATGCTGGGTTTGGGGTGTGGATGCTTGGAATGGGGATTAAGGTTTACTTGGAAACAGCGAATGTTTGTTGAGCGCTTGTTTTTAATTAAACACTGTATATATTGTGCTTTGGTCGGGGGAGGGAAAAATATGAAGACATACTGCCAGCTTTGAAGGCACTTAATAATTGCAGTAGGTACACAGTGACCAATTTTACAAGCATTTATTGGATGCCTGTGCAAAGGAACCAGGAATGTAGTATCAAAGATACACCTTGCTTTGAAGGAGCATCCAGTCCAGTGGAAGGGACAGAAAATTAATTAGTCAGTGGTTGACATAGTATTTTAGAATGCTTGAAAATGCTACAGGACTGAGAGAACAGACATCATACTCAGACATGTAGGGTAGGAGTCTTAGCAAAGCCTCCCAAGAGTAAATTCATTCATGGAGGATCAGTATGAGTTGGTTAGCAAGGAGAACATTCCAAGCAGAGGAAAAAGTGTGTGCAAAGCTGGATTCCACTATTGTTTGGCCACTAGTGTGATGGAGTTGGAAAGATGTGCAGGAGACAGATAATGAAAGGCTTTATACACTATTCTGAGGAGTTTAATCCTCAAGACATTAAGAAGGAAGACCTACTGAAGTGCATAAGGAAAGATACTATCAGTTCACCCTAACAACACTGAACAGTGTAGAATGACTTGATTTGGTGGAGACTGGAGGCAGGGAGACTGTTTAGGAGGTTGTCAGAATGATCCAGGTAAGAAGTGGTAAAAGAGTGCCCAAGGGCCTGAAGAATGAAGAGTTATTAAGGAAGTGGCATTGACCAGAACTGGGAACTGACTAATGGAAGGGAGAAGAATTAGGGATGACATTCACCTAAGTAACCCAGTGGGTAGTAGGGTATTAATTGAAAGCAGTATGGGCTATAGGCTGAGGTGTGGGAAGAGAGTTTTGAATGTTGAGTTTGAGTTTTCTGTGCAATTTCTAAGAGGAGATGGCAGGGAGAGAATTTGTTTAGTGGCTGTGGAGAGAGATCTACACTAAAAGGGAAGACACAGGCAAGGGTAGTTGAAGTGTTGGATGTGGATTCAGATTGAAGTGAAGTAGGATACAAGATGGGAACCCAAAAGAATCTCAACAATTAAGGGAAGTAGTGCAAGGTAGTAGTGCAAGGAGGCTGAGGAGGTAAGATTTAGAGGCAAGCAGCCAGAGACACTGAGGCAAACCTGGAGCAAGCAGGATTCCTGAAGTTAAATAATGATGTGAGAGAAGTAAAAGGTAGGCAAAATCAAATGTTGCTTGAAGGTCTAAATGTTGCAACTTAAGGACTAAATGTTGCAAATGAGTACTAGAAAAATAGTTTTGGGATTGAGCAACTAAGGAGAGAGTGATAACTTTGTCAAAAGTAGTATTCATGAGGAGGTGACACCCAAAGCAGATTGCAGTATATCTGAAAAGGAATGGGAGTGAGGAAGTAGAGGTAGTGGGGACAATGCTTTTGAGACCCAGTGAAGACAGGATAGAAAACACGTGATGGAGAGAGAATATTGTAAGATTAAGGAAAGTGTTTTATTTGCCTTTGAAGTTAGGAGCAGCATAAGTGGTGTGTAAACGGGAGGGGCTTTTATAGGAGGAGAGATGGAAGGTACAATTTAGCTTAGCCACCACGTTTACCTTTTTCTGTTTTTTTGTGATTAATCACACTTTCTCACAATTGAACCTGTACAAGGCTTTTCCTCTCTGTAGTCAGGAGGGTCAGAGTGAAGTTTAAAGTACAGAAGAGATGGGCTGCTTGTGTTAGTCCTTGAGGGAGGTAATGGTGCCTGGGATTTGTCACTGCTAGATGTCAAGGTGAGCTGATCATGTTACTTTTTTTTTCTTTTTATGTTGTCCCTTCTTAATGCACTTCAATGGATCCTTCTTAATGTCTAGGATTAGGCTCCTTGGAATAGCATATAAAGCCTTTCATTATTTCTCCACATCTTTTCAACTCCATCACACTTGTCATCCAATACTGAGATCATATTGTGAAGTGTGTTATGGATGGAGGACTTCAGCATGCCTGGGACTAAATCAAGGAGCCAGGAGAAGTCATTGTCCAGAACATAGGTGTTGGTAGAGAAACAGAGATATAGCAGAAAAGGTAGGTTAGGGCCCTTTCAAATTGAAGCTCTAAATTGTAGGGATTGTCCTCATTAATCACTAGTTTTCAGCATAGTAGATATGCAGTAAAACCTTCCTGGATAAATGATTACTATGGGTTACATGGAATTCTGGTCTGAAAAGTACTTTAATGTAGTAAATAGCAGAAAGCCATTGGGGTTTTTTGTTTGTTTAAGCTAAACAATTACAGGAGTGCTTTTGGATAAGATGAGATGATTTGGAGGGAATATGATGGTGGATAGGCCTGGACATGAAGGGAAATTATGAAGCTGCTGGTTATCTTCCAGACTGGTTGATGGTGGAAGGGAGATAGGGAATTAGACATAGTGCACTGCCCTCAAGGAAATGAAGATGGACAGAAGGGGGAGGCTGGAAATTATTGTTAGTAAACTTTTAACTTACTAATTTTAGGAAGAGAGAAACATTGATTTGTTGTTCCACTTATTTGTGCATTCATTGGGTGATTCTTGCATTTGCCTTGACTGAGGATCGAACCTGCACCCTTGGCATATTGGGATGATGCTCTAACCAACTGAGCTACCTTGCCAGGGCCAGTCAGTAAACTTTTATTTACTTCCTTCTTTGCTCCCTGGTAACGTAAACTACTGGTAAATAGTGCTGCAGGTGGCTAAGAGGAAAGACTCTATTGGGTCACACAGTGTGATCTGAGCTAGAATGCTGTACAAGCAGAGCAGATGGGTCATAGACCCAGATGTTCAGTACCTACGAGACACTCATTTAAATGGCCTGTAAGTTTCACAAACAACAGTTTGTCCTAGTTATCTTTGTCCTACCTTGGGTGGGGAGAGGGAATCTTCTCTTCCGTTATTTCGAATTAATAAATGATACCATAGCCCAACTAATTTTGCCAGCTGCATACACAGAAATCATCTCTGGCTGCTCTTTCTGTCTTTCCACCTCTACCATCACCTGATTTCTACTTTCTCCCTCCCTACTGCCACCCTAAACCAAGCTACCATTGTTTGTCTCATGGGACGGTGCAAGTATGTAGGGAATGATAGTTTTACTAGAAAAATAGTAAAATAGGATAGAGGCCATTGAGTGCTTTGCAGATCAGGATGCTTTGAAATTTGCAGATAATCGTTCACAATGTCTGCTTAACCTTCTAGACAAAGTGGTGAAGAAGGGGAAAAAGGACAAGAAGAATAAAAAGACGGTGAGGAAATGAGGGTTGAAGGTGACAGTTGATTGTGAGTGTTTCCATGTGAAGATAGTGGGAGGTCTGGGGGGAGAAAAGACCTTGTCAAAAGAGGAAACAAGGCATGGGTGGAAGGGATGGTCAGTGGGCCTGTGTGTGACAGAGGGGCTTGGTGGGTCTCTGAGCCATATTTACCTATATCTGAACTCTGTAGTTCTTTGAAGAGCTGGCAGTAGAAGATAAACAGGCTGAGGAAGAAGAGAAAGTACTCAAGGAGAAAGAGGAGCAACAGCAACAGCAGCAGGTACAAGTGTCAGGGGTCCACTAACCCCTCCCCAGTCTACATCAGTTCAGCCAGGTGATGGGGAACTCTCTGTGAGGCAGAGATACTGTAGGGACCAGGGCCTCAGACTCATTCTTACGCTCTCTTTGCTTTTAGCAGCAAAAAAAGAAACGAGACACCCGAAAAGGCCGGCGGAAAAAGGATGTGGATGATGATGGAGAGGAGAAGGAGCTCATGGAGCGTCTTAAGAAGCTCTCAGTGCCAGCCAGTGATGAGGAGGGAGAGGGTAAATGAACTGAGAGGAATGGGTGCCTGGAATCCCTGAGCCATGAAGAGTGAAATGTCTCATTCCTTGGTCTGTGAGTTTGGTTTAGATTCAGGAGCCAGACATCATTTCCTGCCTCATCGTCTTTTCTTGTCGTTTCAGTACCTGCCCTGACACCCCGAGGAGGGAAGAGAACCAAAGTAAGCCGTCTGCATGATTAACGACACCTCAGGGGTACAACCTCGACCATCCCACTGACGGCTCTGGCCTTTTCATTCTCCAGGGAGGTAATGCTTTTGCAGCCTTGATTCAGGATCAGAGTGAGGAAGAGGAAGAGGAGGAAAAACACTCTGCCTCTGCTAAGCCTGCCAAGCCAGAAAAGAATCGGATCAATAAGGTGAAAGCAGTGGCCTTGGTGGGTATTCCCACTCCATGTAGCACCTTCTGGCGGTGGTGTGCTAATTCCCTAGCTTGATTTCCTGCTCTTGAGCCAGCTCTTCTAGATCTGTCTTGCTTAAACTGTCACAATCAGCTTTTCTTTAAAAAGATTTTATTTATTTTTAGAGACAGGGAAAAGGAAGGAGAACGAGGGGGAGAGAAATATTGATCAATTGCCTCTTGTACACACTATTTACTGGGGACTAAAGCCACAACCCAGGCATGCATGTATCCTGACCGGGAGTGGAACCAGTGACCTTCTGCTTTGTGGGATGACACCCAACCCACTGAGCCACACCGGCCAGGGTGAAAAAATCAACTTTTTAAAATATTCTTTTCATCACTTGGAAGTCTACAGTGATTCTGTTGCTTTCAAACTCAAAATCTAAACAGAAGCCTTCAAGTCTGTGTTCTTCCACCCAGGGATCTTCCATGTGTACCTTGCAGATTGGCCTGACGGCATCCAGCTGACTATTCTCTTTTGAAGCCTTTATTCTTTATGCTATATCCTCCATCTTCCCTAGAATGCCGTCTCCAAGCTCATGTCCATTACCTCCTCAAGAGTCACCCTCTGAAGGAAGCCCTCTCACTGTATGATCACCCACCCGTGCAACTCACTGTGCGACCCACAGGCAGATGGTTTCTAGTTTTCACTGTCTAGTCTCAAGTTGGAAGCCAGGGTTTTTCTTGGTGTCATTTCCTCCCTAGTACCACTCAGTACAGTCAACTTCTAGGCTTCCTAGAAGTGCTTGTTAAGCAACAAGGTAGCAAATTAATTTGTGTATGTGTGTCTCCATGTCCTCTCCAGGCTGTATTTGAGGAACGACAACCAGGACTCAAGAACAAAAAGGGGAAGGCCAAGGTGAGTCAGTAAATTGGCAGGAGGTTGTGATGAGTCTCAAGAATTTGAGCATTTTATTAGACCTGCTATCTTTTCCATGTTAGCCTCAAAATAAATTTTCCACTCTGGACAATGAACATGAAGAGGATGAAAAAGAAGAAATAACAAAGGAAGATGAGCCACCCCAGCAAGGGAAGGAGAAGGCCAAGGAGGCGGAGCAGGTGTGTATTTTGCTGCTGGGGGAGTGGGCCAAGAACTGGGGGTGCTGTTACTGTGCACAGCAGGAGTTGGCAAATGTCTGTAAAGGAGTTGTCACATAGTTAATATTTAGCTTGGAAGGCTACACACAGTCTCTGGCCCATATTTTTTTCTCTCTCTTTTTTTAACGACTCTTTGAAAATGTAAAAACCATTCTTAGTTCAGGGCCGTATAAAAATAGGCCACAGGTCAGATTTGGCCTATGGGCCATAGTTTGCAACCCCTGATCGAGAGAGGAAATGACCTGACATTAGCCTCTGACGATTTGACTTTGTGCCTTGAATACATCTTTCTACCTTCTTGGTTCTCAGTTATCTCATCTACGTGGTAGGAGGGAGTCTAGTGATCTCTACAGCCTCCTGTGTACTTAATGCTTTCTCATTCTGGATTCTGCCCCATCCCTCAGTGGCTGTATTTAGGGCTTCCAGACCTTTTCTTTGAATGTTAATGTGTAAGCTATAGTAACACTTGATACATATGTGTGGCATAGAGCCTGGGATATTTATTCTGCCGTCAGTTACATTGCGTCAATAGTTCTGTACATAAATGCCTATACATTGTTTCATCCATACTCCTGACATCTACCTTGTACCATTCGTTCTGACAGAAATGCACAGGAGACCTGGGGTAGGTATGAGAACGAGAGACGGTCCACCCTGATATCTTAGGACTCTAGGTACAGAAGGAAGGAACTGACCGTCGAACTGGGAATGGATGACATGAAATCTGAGTTCTAGGAGGGGACCTTCATTTTTTTTCCATCCCTTAGTTCTCACTGGGTTCAGAGGAAGAAGAAGGGGAGTCTAAGGCCGACGATCCCTATGCACATCTTAGCAAGAAAGAAAAGAAAAAGCTGAAGAAACAGGTAAGACCTTAGGTTCTTAGTGGTCAAAGGCAAGAAAATTATTTTTAAGCTTCAGCTAGGGGACATGTGAATTGAGGGGCAAGAAGGGGAGCTTTGAGTACTACTTCAAGTAAAAGCATCAGAGTAGGGAAAGAACAATGTTCTGTGAGCCTTGTCTCAGTATCCGATGGGTGACATGGGGTGGTATTGTGGTGACAGGAAACTGGCAGACAGTGGCTTTTCCGTCCTTAGATGGAGTATGAGCGCCAAGTGGCTTCATTAAAAGCAGCCAGTGCTGCTGAGAATGACTTCTCTGTGTCACAAGCAGAGGTGTCCTCCCGCCAAGCCATGCTGGAAAATGCATCTGATATCAAGGTAAGGATGGGTTTCTCCAGCTCACCAGGGAAGTGCTGCTTCTCCCACCTGCGTGGCCCTGGCAGCCAGGGAAGTGGGGTATGAGTGGCCTAGTCCACTGCAGGAAAGCTTGCAGGCATTTTCTATACCTTGAGTTCTGCTACCTTGAGCAAGAAGATAGAAAAGTCAATAGAAGCGTAGCATGTCCACCCTTGTAGGGAAGTAAGTGAGACAGGCCTGTTGGAGGCAGCAGGCAGGGAAGGGGACTGGTCTGATAGGAGGAGGGGATTGTGGCAGAGGTCTCAGTTTGTCAGAGGCTTCCTTGCAGGGAGAAGTCTGTAGCTACCATCTGAGAGGGAAAATTCTCACTGTTCCCATTCCTTCTGTACTGCTTCCCTGATGGCTGCAGCTGGAGAAGTTCAGCATCTCAGCCCATGGCAAGGAGTTATTTGTCAATGCAGACCTGTACATTGTGGCTGGCCGCCGCTATGGGCTTGTGGGACCCAATGGGTGAGTAGAGGAGGGGCTGGAAGGAAGAGGAGAGAGTTCTCAGTGATGGCCTAGTCCTAATAATTCTCATTCCCCAGCAAGGGCAAGACCACTCTCCTCAAGCACATTGCCAACCGAGCCTTGAGCATCCCCCCCAACATCGATGTGTTGCTGTGTGAGCAGGGTGAGGCCCCTGGTGGGGAGGTGGTTCCAGGGGCGGGTGTTGGGGTGGCCAGTCAAGAAGGGAAGCAGTTGTAGTGGGGTTGGAAAGGTTATGTGGGGAGTCTGGGGACTGGGACTGGAAAATGATGCTAAAGAAAGAGGGAGGAAGTGAGGATATAGAACATTTCATTTGGGACAGGAACAAAGAGCTGGGCAGGGTCAGGCAAACCAGAAATGGATCTGAAGGGAAGAGGGAACAGGATCCGTCACCCTTAGGGTGGCTTGACTGTCTTCCCCGCCCCCAGAGGTGGTAGCGGATGAAACACCTGCAGTGCAGGCTGTTCTTCGAGCAGACACCAAGCGATTGAAGCTGCTGGAAGAAGAGCGACAGCTTCAGGGGCAGCTGGAGCAGGGTGACGACACAGCTGCTGAGAGGCTGGAGAAGGTAGAGGACTCATGGCACAGGGTCATGGGCTGAGACTTGGGGGTTGTTGAGACTTCAGACATGTAACATCTTCCTCCTCCCAGGTGTATGAGGAACTGCGGGCTTCTGGTGCAGCAGCCGCAGAAGCCAAAGCCCGGCGGATCCTGGCTGGTCTGGGCTTTGACCCTGAAATGCAGAATCGGCCCACAGAGAAGTTCTCAGGGGGCTGGCGCATGCGTGTCTCCTTGGCCAGGTGGGCAGCACCCCTGTCACCCTCTCTTTAGCCTCAAACCACCCGGCCCTTTCTCATGTTCCCATTCTTCCAAGGCCAGCAGGGAGGTTCAAGGTTGAATTCTCTCTCCCTTATCTGTTGTCAGACTTCAGGCCTCTTCTCCATTTCTCTCCCTACCTGGTGGACATTCTCATTGATGTCTCCTGCATGGGAACTTCTTAAGAAGAGATTGGAAGGCCTGTTCATGGTCTCAGTCTCTGCCTACTAGTAGCTGCTCTGGGGTTCTCTGAGCAAGGGTCTTCCCTCTCTGATCCTACACTTTGCTGCCCAACCCTCTAGGGCGCTGTTCATGGAGCCCACCCTGCTGATGCTGGATGAGCCCACCAACCACCTGGACCTCAATGCTGTCATCTGGCTCAATAAGTAAGTCACCCTTCAAGCCTTGGCATCAGTAGTTCTCTTGCTGCCTTGTTTTCTCCAGCTCTTCTCTGCTCTGCCCTTGATGCACTCAGTCCAGCTGCCCTTTCCCTCCCTGTTCCCATGTCTGTCTGCTTCCCATGACTTAACTCAAACCTGACCATGGTGACCTTTCCACACTCTTCTCTAAAACCCAGCTACCTCCAGGGCTGGCGGAAGACATTGCTCATCGTCTCCCATGACCAGGGCTTCCTGGATGATGTCTGCACTGATATAATCCATCTTGATGCTCAGCGGCTTCATTACTATAGGGGCAATTACAGTAAGTAGGGTCACTCATGGGTAGAAGAGAGAGGTGAAGCCCTGAAAAGAGGCCTGGGAGGGAGGGCCATAGGGACGTGGTGATGAGCTGGGTCTTCTCAGCATCTAGACACTGATGCCTGTCCATCCCATCCTCCTCAGTCCTGATTATTCCTTTGTCTGCTGGGGAGAGGATACCCAGTGATGCCCCTCCTCCTCCTCTTCTGCCCCAGTGACCTTCAAGAAGATGTACCAACAAAAGCAGAAAGAACTGCTGAAGCAGTATGAGAAGCAGGAGAAAAAGCTGAAGGAGCTGAAGGCAGGTGGCAAGTCCACCAAGCAGGCGGTAAGGTCTTCCTGTGGTCTTCTGGGGACGAGGGCTCTTTTCAGGAGAACAGAGAAAGAACAGACCCTGGGGAATCAACCTGCGTTTCAGGGACCACTGTGAAGGTACAGATTTCTCTCTCTCCCCCTTCTCTCCAGGAAAAGCAAACAAAGGAAGCCCTGACTAGGAAGCAGCAGAAATGCCGACGGAAAAACCAGGATGAGGAGTCACAGGAGACCCCTGAGCTCCTGAAGCGTCCCAAGGAGTACATCGTTCGCTTTACATTCCCCAACCCCCCACCACTCAGCCCTCCTGTGCTGGGCCTGCACGGTGAGCCACTCTAACTCAGCAGCACAGGGTGGAGCATGGGTACCCCAGCTCTCCCCAGCCGTGGGTACCCTGGCTCTTCCAGAGCCAGGACATGGGGGAGGGACCTTCAGGGTAACTGAATAGAAAAGAAACTACTTCCTTTCCTGGCTCTCAGGTGTGACATTTGGCTATGAGGGACAGAAACCACTCTTTAAGAATCTGGATTTTGGCATTGACATGGACTCAAGAAGTGAGTTGGTTTGGGTGGGACAGGAGCTACAGGGAGAGTGTCTGGGACTTCTTTGACCATCTCTCTTGCTTCTTGCAGTCTGCATTGTGGGCCCTAATGGTGTGGGGAAAAGCACCTTGCTCCTGCTCCTGACAGGCAAGCTGACTCCGGTGAGTCCTGGAGCCAGGCGGGGAGGCCAGTGGTGGGAGTGCATGGGAAGTGTGAAAACTCGCTCTTCGCCCTAGGCTAGAATCAGGGAGCCCTTCTGCAGGGGAAACTAAAACACAGAACTTACCACAGATGACTCGTTTCCCTAAGGGATTTGGAGCAGGGGTACCCCCATGTGGGTTTTGGTTATACAAGAAACATATTACTTGTAGACTGATTCAAATTGCATAAGCCAAAGAAGAGCGTAGAGATAACCAGTATTAATTTTCATGGATAGCTTCTTTTTTCCTTGGCAAATGTGCTTTTTTTAAAAAAATAAAAACAGGCTATCACAAGAATTGTCCTGTAGCCAGCTTTTTCCAGATAATATATATCAAGCATTTTTCCATGCCAATAATTATATGGATAAACCAGATTTGACATCAGTCTTTTCCGTTTTTTATTTATTTATTTTTTAAGTGGGGAAGGGAAGGAGAAAGAGAGGGAGAAAAATGTGTGTGGTTGCCTCTTGTGTGCCCACTACTGGGGGCTTGGCCTGCAACCTAGGCATGTGCCCTGACTGGGAATTGAACCAACAACCCTTTGGTTCACAGGCTCATGCTCAATCCACTAAACCACACCAGCCAGAGCTGCCATCAGTATCACAGATTTTTTTGATTTTCACTAAACAACAATACTATAACAAGTATTCTTACTGTAGATCTTTATGAATTCAGTTTTTCTTAAATTCATTGCTTTAGGACTTTGGCAGTATATTGCCCTAAAGTGCTTTAGGTAGGTTGTAGCCACCTGTCCTCCCTCCATCTGTCACTCTTCTGCTGAGAGGGCCAACACAGAGTAACCTTTAGGAAGGTGCTCTTAGATTCTCCTACAACCTGTCCTTACTCCCTCTTTGAGGTGGTGCCCTGAGAATGGGCCATTCATGAGTCTCTCTGGGTAGCAAGGGGTGTTCTTCAGTTGTGGTCAGTCCTCTCCTGGTTCTGAATCTGTGCTTTGTCTCCCCTCCTTCATTCTCCATCTCTTACTCCCTTTTGCCCCAAACTTTGATTTCCTGGTGTGCCTTTGTCACATTAGGAAGAACTTTCATAATCCCAGACCCATTCTTGTGTTTGTCTTTCTGTTAGAAAAGTTGGGATGTGGCCCTACAGCACCTTTTTTCTTTCCCTCATCTTACCCCTTATTCTTTTTTTGCAGACTCGTGGAGAAATGAGAAAGAACCACCGGCTGGTAAGTTGGCTTTGGGAATTAGGGAATGAGTCGAAGAGAGGAAGTGGGACTTTGACTAACCACCTCCTCTCCTCTGGGGCAGAAAATTGGCTTCTTCAACCAGCAGTATGCGGAGCAGCTGCGCATGGATGAGACACCCACCGATTACCTGCAGCAAGTCTTCAACCTGCCCTACCAGGATGCCCGGAAGTGCCTGGGTCGCTTTGGCCTTGAGAGTCATGCCCACACCATCCAGATCTGCAAACTCTCTGGTAGTACTGTAGGAGGCTGGGGAAAGTGGTCCTCAGTATTCATATCCACAGCAGCACCCAGAGGCAGAAGGGAAGAGGAACCAAGGCTTGGGGGCCTCAGTACACACACAGACACACATTCAGGGTTGATCTGCAGAAATGCAAGGCAGTCAGAGTGTGATGGGTCTCCTATTTCTCTGCTACAGGTGGGCAAAAAGCCCGAGTTGTGTTTGCAGAGCTGGCCTGTCGGGAGCCAGATGTCCTCATCTTGGTGAGTGAGCTGGAGTGCAGGCGAGGGGTAAGTTACAGATAAGAATCCTAATGCTTAGTCACTGTATACCTCCTCCCCCGCAGGATGAGCCCACCAATAACTTGGACATAGAGTCAATTGATGCTCTAGGGGAGGCCATCAACGAGTACAAGGGTGGTGAGTTAGTTCAAAATTCACCTCTTTCTTCCCCTGGGGACCAGGCTTCAGCGGCCTTTGGCTAGGGCTTGATCCCTTCTTTCATGCTCTGATTTTCTCCTCCTGCTTTCTCCCCACCCTCATTCTTACCATCTTTCTTCAAAGCTGTGATTGTCGTCAGCCATGATGCCCGACTCATCACAGAAACCAACTGCCAGCTGTGGGTGGTGGAAGAGCAGAGTGTTAGCCAAATTGATGGTGACTTTGAGGACTACAAGCGGGAAGTGTTGGAGGCCCTGGGCGAAGTCATGGTCAACCGCCCCCGAGAGTGATCTCCCTTCCCGGAAGACCAGCTTGTGTGGCCTGGATGCCCCCTGTTGTCTCTCCATCTCCACTTGGAAGCCTGCCTTTGTTCTGCAGCTGACAGGGAGGCAGAGGTGGTGTTGATATGATTTAGGATGCCACTTTGATTGCTTCCTTTCCTCTGAAAGATTTGTCTGTTCACTTTTCCTTATAAACTGGTCTGGCCTTACTTTTGACACTTCTCTGTGCCAAAAGAGATGACCATTCATTATCTTGGGTTCCCTCCAGCCAAACTTAGGTGGCCAGTTGTCGTGAGTTTCTCTCATCACTCTGCACCCTGCCTCTGGTCCACTTTAAAGCTTCAGGCCCAGTGGGCTCCTGGTCTTATGAGTGGTGCTGTTCTTTTTTTTTTATGGATTTCATGCTGACTTTGTGATACAAATGGCTGTGGCAGTTCAACTGAGGGAGAAGTCTGAGGCCTGAGCTATTATCTGGCATGTGGTGTGTGCAGTCTCTTGTCTAGTTGGAGACTCGGGGGCAAGAAAGGAACACTGCTAAACTTGAATTTCCCTGTACAAGGGGAAGGAATAAAGGAAAGGAGTTACTGGTGCCCTGGCTGTTTGGAGATTCATGGGAGCTGGAACTGTTTTTTATCTTGATTTTCTTTTTTTCTTTCAAGTAAAGATTTTATTTATTTATTTTTAGACGGGTGATGGGTGGGAGATAGAGAGGGAAATATCAATGTGTGGTTGCCTCTCTTGCGCCCCCTACTGGGGACCTGGCCCATAACCCAGGCATGTGACTGGGAATAGAACCAGCGACCCATTGGTTCACACAGGCTGGTGCTCAGTCCACTGAGCCACACTAGCCAGGGCTGATCTTAATTTTCTTTACTCAGAAAATTTACTTAATTTTCTGGTGGCACTTAGTATCCTCACTTCTCCACTAATACAGATGGATCTAACCTGTACTCTTAACTGCACTTACAATGATGCTTGCTCTCTGAGGAGCCTACCTCCCTTCCCCTCACCTTTCAGAGAGGAAGAAGGGAGAGTGTCCAGGACACTCAAGTCTTTCACCTTACAAGGTCTGCCCTGTGGTCAGGGACCAGCTACTAAATGACACAACATGTAGAGTACTTGGAGTTACACAAGGAGAAAGACAGAGTCTGCCTTCATGGATAGTTAGAGAAGGCTTAGCAAATAAGACATGAATGTACATTGTGATAGGATTAATTGCCAGTGTATGGTTCTCTAGACTCTTAAGTTGCTACATGCTCCTAGAAGGGAAAGATTATCTGGAATGGGATTTTTGTCGGGATCACTTGAAAAAGAAGAGGGGTTTGAATAATGAGGGAAAGGAGAGCCGTGTTTGGAACCACAAAAGAGCAGATCTAAGGCTTGGAAGGAAGAAAACCAAAACTGTATAGGAGTTAGTGAGAAAATATGGCTGGAATGGCCACTTCTTCATTTTTGAAAAGGTGGGTTTGGAAAGTAAAATACAAAGGTGGGTGGTGATTTTAGGTAGTGATGGGCAAGACGAACTGTAGAGCCCTGATTGGTTTAGCTCAGTGGGCTTGGCGTCATCCTGCAGACAGAAAGGCCCCAGATTCAATTCCCGGTCAGAGTACATGCCTGGGTTCTGGACCAGGTTACCATTGGGCACGTATGAGAGGCAACCAGTTGATGTTTCTCTCTCTCCCTCCCTTTCCCTCTAAAAATAAACAAGATCTTCAAATAAATAAATAAATAAATAAATAAATAAAATAAAATAAACAGGCAAACTGTAGTCACTTACAGGGGTAGACCCCATACTTCTGTGGGGAAGAGGCAATCCTGAACTACACAGGGTTGGAAAGGACAGGACAGATGGAAGGACCAAGATGGGAACTGAAGACAGGGTGCTCAGTGTAGCTTACCTTTTCTAGCAGAATATAAAGAACTGTTTGGTTAAGACTGAGGTCGGAACTCTAATTTTGGGAAATTATTTTCTGTCCAAGTGAATAAGTAATACTGGACCTCCAGTAAAAGTATTATACTGGAAGTGCAGTTCTGGTGTGGAGACAATTGCAGAGGTGCTATCAGGTCACCTGTCCAATTTAGAGATAAAGCAACCCCCTTCTAACATAACTGGTAAAAAAAAAATTAGGGTCTTGAGTAAGATATGTGAAATTTCCACAGTTCACTGAAGTATCATAGAACAGTGGGAGTCAAGCTTCAGGTTCACTTACTAATGGTGTGGCCTTGGACAAGCCTCTTTTTTTTAAAAATATTTTATTTATTTATCTTTAGAGGGGAAGGAAAGGAGAGAGGGAGAGAAACATCATTGTATGGTTGCCTTTCGTGCATCCCCTGCTGGGAACTGGCCTGTAGGGAACTGGTCTGCAACCCAGGCATGTGCCCTGACTGGGAATCGAACCGCGATTATCTGGTTCGCAGGCCCATGTTCAATCCACTGAGCTACACCAGCCAAGGTCTGGACAAGCCTCTTGGTACGTGTTTTCTAAAAGATGAATATGATAAAAAGTACCTACCTTACAAGTTTATTAAGGAATTCAACATGTAATTATTTGTAAAGTGCTTTTCAGGTTTTTTTTTTTTACTTTTGTTATGTGCATTTCTTGTTACACTGTACATTTAAAATGATCAGTTTACTGATCTAGATGATACATAAAATAGTAGGAATGTCATTTACAAAATGAATACCAAGGTTTTGCATTTCAAGTTTTTGATCACTAATTTCACTACAGGTACTTAAGATGTTCCAAAATAACTTCTATCCAAGGGCATACATTTTATATCTTTCATTAATATACATAGTAGATAATGTAATGAAATTAATAATGTACTTAAACATGGGCAAAAGGATGCTGCCCCCCCCCCCAAATAACAGCAACACTGAAATGGAACGTGGGAAAAATAACATTTACATGGTACAGTGTATGAGTAACTTAAAGCCTGGAAAAATGCAGTTCCATCAACTGAATAATTTTTTCATAAACAGCTTTTAGTACCCACAAATCTTACACTAATGTACATAATGAGCAGCATGGATGTTTCCATAAAGTAGTTCTGTACATCTTCCTAGTGAGGAAACAGACTCAGGATGCTCATCTGCTCAGCCTTCCCAGGCATGGGGTGTGCTGCGCCTGGAATGAAGGCCTGGTTGTGTCATTCCAGGGTTCTGGGCATTCTGCCTAATGTATAGAATGTAGACAAGAGGACCAAAGTGTAAGAGGGGTGTGAGGGCCAAGGTGGGACTGTTAGGAACACTCAAGGCATTTTAGGAAAGACTTGTCAGTGTTAATGATTTAAAACTGAAAGCCAGGTTCATCCCTGTGGTCACACACAACTCCAAGGAGTCCTTGGAATGGAAGAAGTTGCCCCTGAGAGTTTTAGACAAGCAAAAGTGGGAACTGAGTGGTGCCCTGGAGCATCTCCTGGAGGCAAGGAGAGAAGGGATGTCATGTTTACATGGTGTGATTAGGAGAGACTTCTTGAAGGAAGTAATATTAAAGCCAAGGCCTGAAGGAGATGAACCAATCGGATGAGTGGGAAAGAAGAGCCTTCAGGGAAGGCACTGGAATGCGTGATGGTCCAGAAGCTGCAAAGACACTTAAAACCTATTTAATGTTATTAGTCAATGTCAACCCAATAAATTCAATTAAAAAGTTAAAAAACAAAACTGGAAAGACTTTGACATAAACAAAGAATATGGCTTGAGCTGGGGCCAGGACACATGGGATTTTATAAAAGGAAATGTGGGATGTGGTCCTAGGAGCAATGGAAGGCCATTGGTGGTATTTACACAGGAGTGTAAATTGATCTGGTTTTCATTTGTACAAAATTGCCCTGGGTGCTGGGTGGAGAACAGTGGATGAAGCAGACAGGAGAGGCAATGCCAGAAGTTAGATAATGCCTTAGAAAGGAAATACCCTTCTGCTAAGAAAGGATGGAAAATAATGTAAACTTGGGTGTTTTCAGATAAAGAGAATGGGGCTCACCTCCGAGGTTGTGCCAGAGAATAGGGAGAGTTAGGAAGTCTGACAAGCAGCAGTGAATGTTGAGTTAGTACAGGACTAATAATTTGTACTGGGTCAAGATGGTAATATTTTGTCGTTTTTAAAAATTGGTTTTAGAGATGGAGAAACATCACTTTGCTACGACACTTACTCATTGGTTGCTTCTTGTATGTGCCCTGACTGGAAATTGAACCTACAACCTTGGCATATGGGGATGACGTTTACCTGGGCAGGGTGGATTTTCTTTTTATGATTAGACTCCCCAGGAACAGAAGTAAGAAATACAATGATGATGACTCAGAACTGGAGATGAAATTGATGCACTCAGGGGAGGGTTGACAGACATTTGAAGTTGAATGAGTATTTGGGGAAGGGGAACATGGAAGCAGAAAGGAAGAACAGACCAACCTAAATGGGAGAGAGGTACCTACAGGGCCTGATTAACAAACGAATGGGTCAATGGGTTTGGTGAGATGGATGAGATGTTCAGCCTCCCTCCCTAAACACCCCTTTCAAAGGAAATTTTTAAAGTAACAGGTTACTTTGGATTTCCATGGAGAATTTGATAGAAAAATGACTAATTAAAAAAAAAAAAGATGTTATTTCTCTTTAGATGGGAAGGGAAGAGAGGGAGAGAAATGTCAATGTATGGTTGTCTCTTGTGTGTCCCCTGCTGAAAACTGGCCTACACCCAGGCATGTGCCCTGACTGGGAATCGAACTGTGGTTGTTTGGTTCCCAGGCCCGTGCTCAATCCACTGAGCTACACCAGCCAGGGTGAAAAATGACTAATTTTTAAATTAGAAAAAAAACCTTAAGTTCTATTTCAAGTTTCTTGTCCTGAACTGTGTGGCTCTGTTGGGGGGCATCATCCTGCAAAGTAAAAGGCTGAGGGTTCAATTCCCAGTTAGGGCACATGTCTAGGTGCATGGCACATACAAGAGACAACCAGTTGATGTTCTCTCCCTCCCTTTTCCCCCCCCTCTAATAAATAAATGAATTTAAAGGTTCTCTTGTGGCCTGTTGCAGGAGATAGAGGGAAGGTGGTGAGAAGTAGGCAAAAGACCAGGAGAGCAATGCAAATTAAAGAATGACCTACTATTGCGCAGGTGGCAAACACAAGGCCCCTCCACCTTGTTTTATCCAGCCCGGCACCTTGTTTCTACCAGGCAGCAGTGCCAAGCTCCTTGCCCCTAGTTAGGTAGTAGTTACATTTATACGATCCTAAAATATGTGTGCATTGATTGAGTCCTAAAATTACATGAAGGCCCTTTGAAGGCATGTGAGAGGCTGATGTGGCACCTGGTGAAAATGAGTTTGACACCCCTGAACCGTGTTCTCATGTTTGCTGTTTTTTCTTTTTACTTCCTTGGTATTTCACTTCTCACTTTGGCCTTTAGATTACACCCACCTCCCAAGTCCTCTCCTAAGTGCACAGAGTAACAGTAGGTTGACTGCCTGTTTCTCACTTCTGAGACTTGAAAAGCAGAAATCTTCCCCACTGGCCTTACTAGATATAAATGAGGCCTGTTAAATTTAGGAAGTTGCCCTCTTGTGGTCTGTCTTGGAAAATACAGCCAAGAAACTTGTAGAGTGGCTTTTCATTGTTTTCCAGATCTGCATTAGCAACACCAAGGCAGGGAACTTGTTAGAAATGCAAAATCTTGGGATCCATCCCAGACCTACTGAAGCAGAAAATTTGCTGTCCCTCACCCCCAATCTGTCTTTTAACAGGCCCTTCAGATGTTCTGATGGACACTGAAAAGTTGAAAACCATTCTTCTCTCCCTCCAAAATGTACTTCTAATTTCTAGCTTCAAAAATAGCAGGTTTAAATAACTTCCTATTTAAAGTTAACCCTCTCCATGTTTTGGTCTCCAAAACCTCCTGTCTTCCCAGAAACCTTATTCCATCAACTAGGCCCTGAATACCTATCTGTAATAATTAGGAATAATCTTGATCCTACATTTCCTTGAAGCAGGTGAATTTTCCTCTATCTCTGCAGCCAGTTTTTGGGAAGAGCAGTTAACACTTTCCTTGCTTCTCACTTTCTCCACTGGAACTTTCAAGACATTGCTCTTGGATTTCTCCTTCCTCCACCCTCACTTAAATTCCTTCCCTGAACAATTCCACAAGGCTGGCAGGTCCAGCCACAACTGCTGTGCCCCTACGGCCTGCAGTTCCAGCACTGAGCTCTGCATTCCAGAGGCCTGTTTCTTGCTCAACCAGTGCTGATCCTCCAAGGCTTTCAATTCAGAATATTCCACTTAAGCAGTCTTTCACTTAGTATCAACTCTGTGGCTAGTTCAAAGGTCTGCAACAGGTTCCACTAAGGTTTGTATTAATGTACCTAAAGAGCTGATAATGGCTGGGTTTTGTTTTTTAACAAGTCCAAACACACCAGGGGTTAAATAAGCTGCTTCTCTTTCCACTGTTTATTATTAATGTACAAAATATACAAAACCAAAAGAAAAAATACTCATCCTCAAATACATAGTGGCTCTAACACAAGACCCTGCACAAAACCCAACCAATCCACTGTTTTCATAGAAAACAACTGACACTGAGACAGGCGAAGGAGTGGACTGGGTAAGGACCAGCTGTGTTGTTCAGTGCACCCAGGAAGGTGCTTGGCAGGGATTCAGAGGTGGCCTCACTCCAACAAGGTCCCAGGTGAGGATAGGAAGCCTGCTAACTCCCAAAGCGGTGCATGTAGTGTGACTGTTGGGCCCAGCGTGCCAGGGTTCAGTTCATGAAAAGCTGGTCTCACTGAAGGATTTTAATTTCCAGAATGAGCTAATATATGCAAGGTGCACCAACACCACCAGCCAAAACCTTCTCTGGATGCAAATGTGAATTTCCAATCATTGAATCCAGCAGACCCACAATGTTCACAGGTTACAAAGTCTTACTTGAGAAAGGACTCCAAATGTGTCCAGCTAGGGAGGGAGTGGGGAGCTCTTTCAGTGCAGTGGGATATCCAATACCCCTTTTTACCATCTCCCCACCCCATGAGGAATAATGAACTTGGCTTGGATGATATCATAAGTGCAACTGATCCCATGTCAGAGCTCTGTGCATGGGGAGGACTCAAAACAGGAGGGTACAGGTGTTCTCCAGGATAACCAGCTTAGGTTCTCAGACATTAAAGGTAATACTAGGAAAGGGCTTGGGGTTATAGGGCAAAATCTCCTCACAAAATGAAGCCAACTGGGTCTCCTCTTGAGCAGTCAGGGTACAGAATGTGTCATCTCTCCTCCCCAGACTGGAGGAGCGTGTGTACACCAATCAATGTGCACCAGTGATCAGAAAACCCCCATGAACACGAGCGGGACTGAGAAGGCCTGCTCCTCCTCAGCTGGGGAAAGGACAAACGGGCCTCACAGAAGCCATAACAGGGTGGAGAAGCAAGGCTACAGCCCATGGGGGTGGGTATGGGAAAGGCAGGAAGGGCTCCTAGGGCAGGGGGGGGCCATTGACCCCTGGGTGGTAGAAGGCACAGCTGTTCTCATAGCGGCAGTTGCCC